CTCTAGCCATTTTTTTCTTCTTGTCCTGACGGTGCTCCAGCGAGCCACTCCCTTCTCTTCTGCTAAACTTTGCCCAGAACAACGTGTGTGGGCTGCTGAAAAAAAGAGCAACCATCACATCACAGGTCCAAGGCCATGAACACTTGTACAAAGCCTGGACCTTCCAAAACCGAGCCCCCATCCCTGAGCCAAGTATACTTTCGCAACGCTGCGCCGATAGTCCACTTGCACCTCTCAGCCCTCCAGCCATCCCTCAGTCCCCTCCTTTTCACACAAACAAAGGCCGTCTGCTGAGCTCCTAGGGGCGCGATGATGGCGATATAACTGCGCGTTTGCCTATAAAATAGTAGAATCCGTCTACCCAGAAATCCGCTGCTTCTGCACCATGCAAGTTGTCCGTTTGTAGCCATTCCGGGTGAACCGTACAATAACCCCGTAAGGGCCGTAAGGGTCGCAGGCCAGCAAACGCACAAATTCCACGCAACAAGGAGGGACATGGCACCGACGAGCCCACCTCATCTCTCTTGCCGGCGGCTTATCTCCCTTCAGCTTCCTTGTTCACCGTGCCCCGTCAACCCCTCGGCCCCATCAACGGCCGGTGCGTACTGTTAGAAGGGCAGGCCGCAGGCAGGCAACTCCTTTCTTCGCTAACCGGCCTACTGGCCGCCAGGCAAGGCACCCAGCCGGGCTATGAGGCATTCAGGGACCTCAGCAATGATCATATGTTCCCTGTCTTGCGTCAGTACATTGGGTCGCCGCGCACTCTTGCTTGCCGCCTCCTCCACCCATTGTCGCGCAAGCCCGACGGTCTAAGATCCCTAGCGTTGCTGCAAAGAATCGGGATCATGTACTCTTGGGGCTTACCGTTGAGCTGAGGCTGCAAAAGCTCGGGCACACACTTACACGCTTACCAGCGGATGTAGAGACACTGGCCAGACATTTCATTATGCGCTTCGACCTCGCCTGGCTTGCATCTATCAAGCACAGACTCATGTGAGTAATTAGCTGCCAGATAAACCCCAGACAGCGCCCAGTCCACGGGTACCGCTGTAAGCCACCATCTGCCTCTTGAATGGGCTGAATCTTGCCCTACAGCGAGTTCGCAGCTAAAGTAGGCGTGTGAGCGTGTGAGCATGTGAGCATGTGAGCATGTATATGTGTATGCACGCTCGCGACTTGCGCTCTGTTTATCTCGTCGTCCCCAGCGATTTTCCATGTTCCTTTCACTCAGGGAGTTGTCTTCCATCTTGCCAGTTCCCCTGCTGGGCCTTGTCGTGTCGTGTGGTTTGGTGCCTCGTGTCATGGATGGCGTGTGTACGGATATTGTGTGTGTATTGTTTGTGTGACTCGAAGGTACCTGGCCGGTTCCTCGGACCACAGTGCTCGACGAGTTGACATTGGCGAACGGCCCCCTTCTCCTGGGCCCTATCCTTTGCAAAGAAAGAGAGGCGTATACACCCCCCACCCCCCCCCCCCCCCCACCCCCCCCGCCCCCGCCCCCCTCCCACCCCCCCCCCCTCACCCGTCTTCCCCCCCCCCCAGACCGCGCCATCCCCCACCGCCTCAACCACACGTGCACTAGCAGAGACGCGCACAGCCCGCACCCCCCCCCCCCCCCCCCCCCCCCCCCCTTCCTGGCCTTGGCTCTCTGCTCGCTCGCTCGCTCGCTCGCTCACACACAGGTTTGCGTAACCAGGATCAGCCCAATCCTACGTCCCCTTGAGCACTGATTGCGGAGAGGGGCCAACCGAAGCCCGCAGCACCACTCATGGCTCATCCCTTCCCTTCTGCTCGTTCGTTTGGCCCGCCGCTGCGCAAAAAAGTGCAGGCAGGCAGGCAGTATTGGGTGAGGAGACAGACGACGAGGAGGAAGAGGACTCAAGCGAGAAGAGGAACCGGGACTAGCGTTAGGGGTCCCGAAAGTCTCTTGTGACACATGAGTGGCCTGTCGAATGTTCTCTCTCCCCCCTTCCCTTCTCGACCTCCTCCCGCACCGCACCGCAGCACACTCACCCTACATCCATCATCCATACACCAGACACGAAAGACTCATTGAGACACAAGGCAATGACACACGTACAATCGACAAAGGGGGTGGGAACAATCGAGCCTTTCAGCTTTTAGTGGACCCCAAGTAAAATTTGAACTTTGCAGATTCAGCCTTTGTTCATTTGTTCGTTTTTTCTTTCTTTCTTCTTTTTCTTCTTCTTTCAATCTTGCTCTATATCTGTTTTGTTATTAATTTATTAAATTCTTTTTTTCTTCTTTTTTTTCGTGTTTCACCCTCGGGATTCTTCTTCTCCTCGATTTTTCCCTAAGCGAAGCCTTCCTTTGTTCTTTTTCCTTTTTTCGTGTTTTTTTTTCTTTTTTTGATCTCTTGTTTTTCTCTTTGTGTTTACTTTTTCCCTCCTGCTTTTTTTCTTTCCTACTGTTGTCCCATCGTGTGTTCTTTCTCTTTTTTTTTCCTTTGCTGTGCGAGGGGGAGTCAGAAGGGGGGGGGGGGGGGGGGGGTTTCCCTTGTGTTAGTAAGTTAAAGTACCAAAACCCATTTCTTGGTAGACAAGGAGACAAAGGGAACGGGGGGGAACTTAAAAAGGGCTAGTTTGCTTTGTCTAATCTGTCACTTTATTACTATTTTCGCCGTGACATGACTCTCTCTCTCTCTCTCTCTCTCTCTCTGCCTGCCCTTGGCTGACGGGAGGGAATGAAGGGATAAGAAAGGTCGACTCTGACTGACTAATCTACCACCACAACTAAGGGTCAGACCAGAAAACAATAATAATAGAGGTATTAGAGTAGACTATACAGTGAAATGAGGAAAGGGCAAAAAGATAAAAAGGACGACCACCAGAGAGAGGTACATTGGAATATGAGTAACACACATCTGTATCAGCCTACTAGTAACGATTTCTCCTGCTCAAAGATGACCTTTTTCCTGTAGGCTGTGCTCAAATTTCCCCAACTGAATTTCCCCCTTAGCTGGACACCAACCTTTCGTGCCGTGCCATGCCGTGCCCATGAGGTGGGAACTTCGTCCCGCTAAAAGCGGACGGGTGGCGAAACGGCCGTGGTGTTTTCCCGTCCCTCCTCCCCCCCCCCCCCTTCGCCAGGCACACGGGGAATGGCGGCAACGGCATTAGAGGGTGAGAGAGGGGGATAGGGGTGGATAAGGCTTGTACGTTTGGTGGGCGTAGTGTAGCGTAGTGCAAAAGGGGAAATGCAGTTAAAAAGGAAAAAAGGGGGGGAGGGGGAGGAAGAAAAAAAAAGCAGGCCAGTCAAAGAGAAAAGAGCTCAGAAAAGAGCAGGCCAGTTCCCGGGGCCCGGGGTGAGGTAAGGTAGACTTGACAACAGCATCGGCGGTCCGGCCCCCGAACCTTGGACTATGTATTTTTTTTTTTTTTAATTCTTTAGCTATTGGGAGTTATAGGGGGAAAGGGGGGGCAGGTCGCCGGCGGCACCGGCGGCGGCGGCAACAAGTGGTTTCCCCTGACCCTTCCCTTCCCGTCACGAAAAAATGATCAGTGCTGAAGAACCTGCCCAACGCACGTTTTAGAGATGTCAGAAGAAGCTTTTAATCTGATATTAAAAACGGAAACTACGCTACTGGTTCATTCTCCAATCTGTCTACTACCGGAAGATCTGTGCTCCTCCCTCAAAAGTAGTAGTTGCTTCTTCCCTATCCTTCGAACCGTCCGGTTCAATATGACGTGTCACATGTAGAGGGATGCCTACCTTGCATTTTCACGGGATTACGGACTTACGGCCGGCCAACACTCAGCCAACACATATTCAGCCAACACTCGGCGACAAGTAGCTTGGGCGCAAGACTTTCTTGCTTTGTTCTTTGTTTGTAAACATTTTCCAGCTTACAAGCAAGACGAAAACAAAAACACCATTAACAATGGTGACGATGCTACGCTCGGCGTTCAAATGTGATTGTGTTTCATTAGATTTTCTTCCAAGCGCTTACCCCTCAAGGGGTGTAGTGTAGTATGAGAGGAACATGATGATCATGAGTATTGAGAAGAGGTGAATGAAGAAAATGAACAACCTCAGTATTTTTGTAGCCCTCGCGGTGCCAACTTCTGACTTCTGCAGAAAAAGAAACTAGACGAGGAGAAACGAAATACGCGCCCAATATGGGATGTGGGAAAAAAATTGAGGTTATTGTGATATCTTTGCCGCCCAGTTCCTTTAGATCGCTTGCGCGATTTCGCCTTCGTAATACTTTCAACGTTTGGGGTACTAGTAAAAGACAACAAAAACAAATAGGCAGCGGTTTTGACATGAAAAAGACGACACTCCAGTGTATGGCGTGGCGGAAAATGGGTACCAAAGGAGTAAAGGCAGAACAGAAAATCAAAAACAGACGTGTGCCGTGAGGCAGACCAATCTTAACCCTTTCCGTTCCTTTGGGAAATGACTGTGTACGAAAAGAAAAATGTGTAGAACAAAGCAGATAAAAATAAAAAGTAGAAAAACGTCAGGACCATTTTCCCGGGTCTCGGGAAATCCACGTACGTGGTATGCTCAAGCAAAAGACCTCCCATCATTTCCCAACCCCAGCCCCCGGCAAACACCAAAAAAGCGAAAATCAAGACGATGCTGACCGTGAATTTTTTTGGCTGATCCTGGCTGATCCTGGAAGCCGTCCCTGTCAACTCCCCCTCCCTCATGAAAACTCGCTCGCTACGGAAGCTCATGCCTCTCCATGCATGTCGAAGACTGATGTGCGTTTTTCATGAACTTTGTGTGCAGCCCGAATCAAATCATATTTATTCCTTGCCGCTGCTGCCTGCGAAAGCGGCAGCGCTCGCAATGATCGAGGTAAAAGCGCAGTTTCCGAGGTGGTTGTCAAGAGAATTTCCAAGGCGAAGAGAGTACCTGGCCAGCAGATCCATTCCTATTTGCGCCGGACTGAGGCGGTCGATATCCGTGGAAAAAATTAGGGTCCTCCAGAGCAAATGACGACGCTCTTTCCCTTCCATGCGTCACTTCTTTTACTTCCTCACCGGTGGACGATTCAATCTTCCCAGCATGTTCCTATCGATGTCGTTGGGAGTCGTATCCACCAAGTTGTTCAGGCTCATTACCGAGCTTGAAGATGCTGCCGGGGTGGAGGAATTGCTTTGCCGCTGGGTCGCTGCCGCGGCTCGCTCGTCTCCCGTCTGCGGGTGAGGTACCGCCGCCGGCTGTCCAGGACTATGTCTGGCCGGGGGCGCTCTTGGGTCATATCCGGGGTGACCACCTTGCGGGTAGCCCATGTAACCTCCCGGACTGCTGTGGTTCGAGCTCGAGGCTGGTGAACGACGTCGAGGATCATCTGCAGAGTTCGGATCAGGAGGCGGAGGCCGAAGCTCGTCCACTTCATCGTCCCTCGGTCGCCGCCTTCCACGCTGCGCATCGTATGGCGAGTAGCCGCCAGTCGGGGACGGGAGAGGCTGTTGGTAGTAACCGCCGTTGCCAGGCTGAGGTGGGTAACCCTGGGGCGGTGGCGCAGGCAGCGAGCCTGGGGGGAGAGGCTGCCCATAAGCTCCATAGAGCGGCGTTCCCGGTGGAACTCCTCCCTGGATGGCCGAAACGGGTACGAACGCAGTTGAGCTAGATGACGAGACGGGCTGGAATATACATTCCTGATTCATTCTGCTGCAGTTCACGCATTTGCCGCCAGGGGCACTTTGATAGCCGCTGCATCGAATCTGAAGCGTTCCAAATTAGTCTCAAAAGCACCTTTGTCGAATCGCTTCTCGATAGGCGACCTACCTTTCTCTTTCTACAGTATCTGCAAGCAATGGAGGTCCGCTGTCTCGGGGCGGCTTGCTGCATGGGAGGGCCTCCTTGACCGTAGTCGTATCTCGGTGGTGCGCCTGGTGGGTAGTCATATCGTGGGCCGCCCGGGCCGGGAGGAGGGTAATCCGGGTAGCGGCCCGGGGGGGGCGGGCCTTGACGGTTGTGATAGTCCTGGTAGTAAGGGTCGCCATACTGCTGCTGAGGCTGGCGGTTTCTGTAGTAATCGTCCCTCGCATCTGGCGGAGGAGGATAAGTGGGAGATCTTGGGTCTCCTGGAGGTTGCAACGGTGGCAGTTGCGGCGGGTGGCCACCCGGTTGCGGTGGCGGGTAGCCGTTCACGGAATTCGGGGAGGCGCTGTAGTTACTGGCGCGCGGATCGGCGCGCGGGTCACCTCGTGGATCACCAGGGTATGACCTCGCGTAGGCGGGTTGGCCATAGGCGCCGTGGGGATCCTGGATGGATGGAAGGGTGACTGGTGCGGCCATGTTGGATCTATGATGTCTTTCTTCGTGGTATCTTTGGTCTTCGGGTGCTCCCACGGGGGGAAGTTGGTGACGAGCTTCGTCTTCTCGGTGGTGGATGGACAGGTCTTCTCTATGTATAGAAGGCGGCCCTCGTCCTTGCTCCTCTGCCATGCTCTGGTTGCGGCGAGTCCACCCGGATGCCGCGACTGAACCTGCACTCTCGTCGCCGCGCGATACTATCGTGTTGGCGAGCAGCTGGTGTCGTGGTGCGGTGTTTGTAGTTGTCGGTGTAGTTGAAAGGGGCCCTTGGGGCGAGATGCGATGATGCCCTGCGTCTAAAGTAGGCTATCCGTCGAACCCTGATAACGAAAAATTCCGGCCAGGCACGGGAAGGGCAAGAATCATGACCAAGTGGGCTGTGGCGGAGAGAGGCGGGTGCGGTCAGCCAAGTCGGTTGACACTGAGGTGAGAAACGCAGGCGCGCACAGCGTGTGGTGGTGGTGGTGGTGGTGGGAGGGGTTTAGAGTTGAATAGTGGGTGTCGTATAAGCCGTCGGAGAGCGCGGGCGCAAGAGTAAGCAGCGACAGTACGGCGCGCAAAACGCAGTGCGGTGAAATTCGACAACGGGTGGTACGGATGGGAGGACCGCGTGGCTGGAATGATTAATTTTAAAAGTGGCGGATTTGGCAATGATCCGACTCCCGCAATGATGACAGCCTAGCAAACGTGGGTGAATGCGTCCTTTCGCGATGTCGCTGCTGTCGAGGAATGGAAGTGAGATCAGGTCGGGATCACCAAACCGAGTAAGTACGGTAGGAGGTCAACCCGGTGTGTCGGGAACGTGTTCTGACCCGATCAAAGACAGCGGCAGCAGTTGTTCGTACAGGGCCTAAGATGATGGTGTTGATGGTGACGAGGATGATGTTGTGATCCTTTATTTCCCTCTCGTTTTTATGGCTTCTTTCTTCCTGTTCCGTTCAGTTCCACCCTTCCTTGCGACGGCATCAAACCCCGAGCGGGAGGGGGTTGCGATGCTGGATGCGAAGGAAGTACGAGGTTTGTGCGCGAGGCCGATCGGCAGGTGGGAAAAGCAGAGCCAAGGCAGGGCAAAGAGCGACGCGCGCAGCTCGAGGTGAAGGATTGTGAAGGAAAGAGAGGTAGAAGAGGTAAGGCAGGCGAGGCAGAGCAGGCGCAAGGCGGGTAAAGTAATGTAAAAAGGGTAGGTATGCCCAGGTTTAGCAGTGGAGTAGCAGGCGAGGGATTGTGCCAAAGATGTAAGAAACCAAGAGAAGAACGAGGCGCTACTGCGCGAGGTAGAAGTATCCGTAGACGAGTGCCCCGTACCTACCTCTCTACCTTGGGACCAGCATCCGTACTTTGGGACCTTGGGACTTGGGGACTTGGATGGGCATGGAGCGGTGCGGTGCGGTCGGTACGGGGGGTCAGGGTAGGGAAGGGAAGGGAAGGGAAGGGAGGGAAAAGGGACTAGGTATGGGAGGTACCGCAGTACGGTGCCCTTATCCACTTTCTGGGACGAAAATGCCAGGGAAGGTGCGGTACAGGTACCCATGTCCATGTCCCAAGGATCTCAAGGATCCCAAGGTCCCAAGGTCCCAAGGTCGCAAGCCAGGGAAAAAGGCGTGCGCTGAAGTGTGGGAACTAGAGGCAACGGAGGTACGTACTGTGTACATGGGTCGCCAGCCTCGAGTATCCCCAGATACGTACCGAAGGTACTCTCACCTTTGCGTCTGAGGTGTGGCTCTCTTCCCCTTCCCCCTTCCCCCTCCTCCTCACCCCCCGGCCCAGGGGTGTGTGGTGGGCCATGGATGGATGAAGAGCATGGGAACAGGATGGCGGGAGGGCATCCAACAGCAGCAACAGAGGCAGAAACACAAGCAGGGCAGATATGCGGACACTCACACACAAACTCACACTGTCACTCTGTCTCTTTCTCTCTCGCTCCCTCTTTCTCCATCACACACACACTCTCTCACCCCGTCTCTCTGCTTACTCTTCTCACTCGCTCTCACACACATACATTTCACACCTCATAATCACTTACTCTTAAGTTAGAGTGAAGCCAGTTACGCCAGGTAGCATGGCAAAATATATACAAAAAACAGGCACGCATTCATTTCAAAAGCCTACACGCCAGATGCGCCATAGGGCCCTGGCGGGTGATGAAGTGTGATGAGGCAGAGGCAGTGTGAGGTAAGGAAGCGTGTCGTACCGTAACGTCCTCGACAGTCCCGTTGCCGCTGTGCAAGAGATGGCCAATCCCGGAGGGGCGTGTAATAATAATATTATTTTTGAACCCTTATTTCCTTTAACCAAAGATATTGCCAGTTAATTAGGCTGCTGATTGATCATGAAGGGGAACGGCTGCGCGCACTCGACTCGTTTTCTGTTGTGACTGATATGCTACCCAGTACCTTACCTTGGGTAACCTGAATAGTAAGTAGGGGGAAGGCGGAGAGGGAAGGACGGAGGACTGACCGCCAAGGGCCCCGTACAAGGTTGCAGCCTTGTCGCCGGTCGCTTGTTGTCTATTCTAGATTTAGTTGCTGTGTCCCTTGCCCTGTTCTCGTGTCTCGATACGATGTGCAAGCTTTTATATATACATATATATATAAGGGACGGGCGGGTTGTATGCGGGATGGAGGTAAAAGAGCAGCCGTTCCTTAATGATCGTGCTGAGTGCTACATTGGCCACCCGACCTGGAGAATTTGCCTTTACATAGTAATGTCGGCGCGCTGCAGGAGATGGGATGAGATGATATTGGTAGGGAATAAATAGTACGGCTGAGTGACGGCAAAAAGTTGGAGAAGGAGGAATCCCGAGGCGACCTATCTCAAACAACAGGCGCGCGCTGCCTGAGCAGGGCACTGTGCGCGCAGGGTAGAAGATGTAGGTCCGGGTCCGGGTCCGGGCCCTACAGGTAAGAGGCAAACAGGGTGCCAAACCTCGGGTACCTTGGAAGACGGCAGGGTGTGGTGCGGGTGCGGATAGTTGGTTGGATGATGGGATCTGGATAGAAGGGAAGGGTTGGTAACGGGCATGGGGTAGACAAAGTCTGAAGAACACCCGATGATGATGATGATGATGATGATGATGATGGTGCCGATGATACCTAGTCCTGCTGATGATGGGGGAGGGGGAGGAAGACAACAGCCAAAAAAAAAAAGAAAAAAGAGAGGGAGGGGGCAAGTGGGGGCAGCGCGGGGGGGGGGGGGGGGGGAGGGAACGGGGGAGGGCGGTGGGGGGGACGAGCAATACGAGGCGTGGTGAGGGGGGGGGGGGGGGAGGAAAAAAAAAAAAAAAAAAAAAAAAAAAAAAAAAAGGTATTGGCCTACCGGGAATTAATCCAAGAGTGAGCGTCTGCGGCAAAACAGACAGCGCGCGACAGGTGGTCACCATTCCTTGCCCATTGGCACGAGGGAAATGCAATGCACGAAACGATCGAGGACAAACTCACAACTAACACGACAGCCTCCAGTTGCTTCTTACCTATGTGCCTCTCCTGCCTTCTTTCTGCTGGTCCTACCCTACGACTACAGCACCTGCACCAGATGGGAATGGGATGGGAATCTGCTTTCCATCTTACCACACACCCCACAGACAGACACTTACGCCCCTCCCCCTTGGCATTCGCTCTCTGTCTCTCTTTCTCTCTCATCATCTCTCTGCCCCCGCCCCCCTCCTCCTCCTCCTCCCCCTTTCACCCATAGCCTCTTGCTCGCTGCGTGAGCTCCAAGTCCTGGTACACACCCCCTCCTCCCACCACCTTCTCGCATCAGAGGGTGGATGGCGCAAAGTGGAGCCGAGCGGGAATGGCAGAGCGGACGGATCATGTCGTACCGCCCAATGGGTGACTTTATCGTGGGCGGGAGTATCCCCTCCCTTCCCCCTAGGTCCCCTTGGTCTACCTAGGGGCCGTGGTCTTGCTCCAACACCGGCGCCTCCTCCAGCTGGGAACTGCCTGCCTTTAGCTCCCCGTTGCCAGGTACGTACTGCGTAGTATCGACAGTAAAGTGGTCGACTTGGTAGACCACCTCATACTGAGTATACGTAGGTACGGATACCCTACCATCATCCACCGCCTTGGAGGGCCCACACCATGCCGTACGTCTGCAGAGAATAATAAAGAGAGAAAGAAAGAGAGAGGAGGGAGAGCGAGAAGGATGGAAAAGCACGCAAAGGCCCGAGGACAACTGGAGGGTAAAACTGAGCTGCTGGACCACCTCCCCCCTCTTCTCCCAAAGTCAAAAAGTCAAGACACCAAAAGCCAAGACAAGACGACAGGTACCGCCGGCGGGGTGGAAAGGAAACGGCCGGGCATTAGGCCCTTTTTTCCTCCCTTCTCGCCTGCCGACAACAAGCCAGCCCATCGAGGTAACGTCAGCTACACAACGTCGTCTTGACTCGACACTAGTGCGCCCAGCTAAGTATCTAGACTTGGACCAGTCCAGCTGCCCCCTTCGGAGTTGCCCAACCAAATCAAGATTTCGATACTCGGCTCCTGTACTTCATTCTGCGCTCTTTGCTCGCTTCTCCTGCATACGTTTCAGCATCTCTTCCGCCCAAGGAAAAAAAACAACCACTTTCCCAGATGTACGACGGCACGTTGCGACGCGGGAGGCAAACAAAACGGCCCGAGAAGAGAATTTCTTGGTTCCTTCTGAACCCGGCTGCAGTGTCCCAAGGGATGGATGCCCTGGCCCAAACACAACACCTCAGCGTTAGGTACCATGTCACCCCAGATCGACAATGCCCATGCAAAGCCAACAAAAAACCTCCAAAGCCGTGCAATGGCAAACACCGAGGCGAGTCCTGCAACAGGCACGTATCCGATTCTGGGTGGCTCCCCATCCTGACAGCTTACCTGTCTTCGTCCTTCTCCTTTGTGGTATGCTACCATGTTAGTCCTCTTCGGCCTTGCCTCACAAGTTGTCGTATCCTTAGAGATGCAGAATCGGCTAAACTGCCCGGTAAACCAAGCACTAGCATAACCACACGAAGACCTCGACAATTGCGTACGGGGTCAAGAAGGGCATGGATTGTTTGAACAGAGAGATACGGTGAGACGAAGAGGAAATACCAGAAGAGAAGCGGTAAGAAGGCAGAGACAAACAAGACCGAGTGATACAAGTTCGTGACTGCGCGTCTTGACATGACGTTGACAAAACTTGTTGGTTCTGGTCGACGGAGGCTCTCATTTACCCCACTTGCTTCTGTTGTTGAGTTATTCAGCTTGCTTCCTTTTTGCAGCTCTCATGACGTGCGAAAGACACTCACAGCTCTCATTTGTCTTTCCCAGTGCATGGTCACTGTGTTTGCCTGCTGGTGGTAGGAACTGTGGCTTTGATTGCGTTTGGTGCGGGTCCTCGCCGCCGTCGGTGCTGTCACTTGAGCACCCGAGGGAACAACGGATGGCGCTCCGCCCCCCGCCCCCGCCCCTCTTCTCCCTACTTCGTCATAGCATGTCTCCGGCTCGCGCCGGCTCGTTGGATTCGGAAGGCCTTGTGACAAAGAAGAACCGCAATCTGGGGTTACGGCAGCAGCGTAGGAATAGAAACAGAACAAAGAATCGCTTCGTACCGTACCTGCGGCCGGCGGCTGGTACTAGTTGCAGGCCCAGGTCCTTCGTGGCTTGGAAGATTAGCACAAGATTGGCATCGGCAAGTCGAATTGACCGCTGGTTAGTGATGCAAACTCGGCGCCGTGAGTCTGTCATGACTGCGTTCCAAGGTAATGCTCCGTCGCCCAGGCTTCGAAGGAGCGAAAGAGACCGAAATATTCGGGTCTTGTCCGAGTTAGACCGTGTGCACCAAAGGGATGGGTATACAATGAGAGGGTGATTAGAATGGGTAAGTCTTCTAGTGAGGATTGAAGAAAATGAAAGGTGAGCATGCAAGCGTGCAGCGTTGAACTCCGGCTGAGTAGATGAAATGGTAAATCGCTGATAAATTGTCGCATGCTCGGGTTCTACCGTGTTGCTTGAGGCCTCTCCCGGTGGCTAGTAGTGGTACAACAAGCTGTGCCTCGTCTTGGCCACTGTTGGTGCACACTGCGGGGTGGAAACGGTTTTCGTCATATCGCGACCAAGAAACCATAGCCCTCGATGACACCGATCAAACGGTGCGGTTGCCGTGAGCGTACCAGGTGTCTTCTCCTTGAGAACAACACATGGAGCGACCATATTCAAGTGTCGCGACTCCATTCGTTCATTCGTCTGCCCCTTACTTCCTCTAGCTCAACTGTGGTTCGACTCATACGGCCCTCCTCCCTGGATAGCCCACCCCCCTGGTTCTGGTTCTGCCCTATTGGCGGCTGGCAGGACAGGGTATCTTAGGTACGGGCCTCGCCGGTGTTGTCTGTGGGCGGGCGACGTGGAAGAAAGTGGTGGAAGATGTGGAGTGCCGCACCAAACAGGAAAAACGTGCGCCTTGGCTGGACTGGCCGCGCCTGATCCCGTGTCTGAACCCACCAGCCCGGGCGGCGGTCGCAGACCTGGCCGCAGGCAAGGCGAGCAGTGTGTGTGTGTACATACGTATGCGTGCGTTGGCTTGCTGTTAGGAGAGCAGCCACTACGCACGGCACAGCAGCACGTCGGATACCGAACCTGGCCGACGAAGCTACCACAAATGAGTTGAGCTGCTGTTCGCCGTTGTCTGACACCTGTTGTGTCTCCGCCACCCCTAACCTGCTTGAACCTGGGAGTCAGCGTCGTCCGAGAGTGCCTCATTCGTACCTCTATCTTGCTTCAGATGAAATGCGAATGCTGTGTTTCACGCCATCAAATTCGAGCAAAAGGGCGTACATGCAGTGCGAAGCTGTGTTGTCTCATTCGACATAACATGATGCGACGAAAACTTCTGTGTGACAATTGATCCAGGTTGTTGTTCTGCGGAGATGGCACAAGTGCTGGAATGCCAGTCAACGTATCCGATCTGTCGCCTTGATGAAGTCTCTTCTCCTACCTTGCAAATTAGATCCCGGTGTCTTGTATTCCATGGCGGTGTCTCAGCGCGGGACGCCCCTTTCGCCTCGTCCTAGTCCTTGTGATGCTCGATCTCTGTGCGCCATGCAGTACAGACGTCTGATACAACAGTCTGGACCTGGCTGATGGTTTATTTTCGCCTGCTGGTTTACTGCCTGTAGACGCTACATGAATCCCTCGCTTGGGCTCGATACTAGGCCATAATGGCCAGGTAATCTGCTCTGTCGTGGACCGAAGGCACAGCAAGCGAGACGGGTCCGAGCTAGAGCATTCGGATAGCCGTCGCCAGGGGCTGAGCCGGCCAGGCCAAGTGGAAAAGTCAGGCTAAATCAGTCCGGACACAAAGCAGAACAGCTGCCCAACTGTCATGGGATTCGCGGGAAGACCGCGGCTCACGCGCGGGCGGGCAAACCTTAGGACGCCCGCGTTTCTCCGTGCTACGGTTCTTGCCGTGGAACGCCGACGGAGACGAGCTTCTGGGTGCCGTCAGGGTGCCGTAGCCGGCGTCTCGTTGGCTCAAAGGCCGTGAACTCCGTCGCCGTTCACAGAAGAGGGGATGGGTAGCGGCGATGCGGAGGTAGAGCCATAAGGACCCAGAGGAGCACATATTTTGTGCAATCAAAGAAGAACCCCAGTCCATTGCCAACAACTCGACTGGGAAGCCTGACTTCGGATACGAACGCGTTGAGTCGTGTCTCAGGGCACGGCCCAGCTAATAATGAAAGACCATCTAGTGGGATAAGCATCGAGGGCGTGGGTCGCGACAAGGCAGTCGGGGGACCGGATGGCAACGATAATAGAGGTTGGTTGAGATGTGAACATGCAGACGTGACGGCCATAAGAACTGTGCACTTGCACTATCCGCGGCTGATCGGGGTCGGTACGTATCGACATGAGTCTCACAGCCTGCCACGCCGAGTACTGAGTACCATCGCAGCAGCAGCAAACCCCTGCCTTGCTCCCAGTTGCGTCACAGCGCTCCGTGGTCCTGTGATGTCTTCTCCCTGCGCCTCGCCGCTCCTCGCTTGTTTGCGGGCAGTAACAGAATAGATCAACCAACGGGTCTCGATCGGAACAAGCCCCCGTCCACTCAGGTGGGCTGAGACGTTGAGGAATCCATGTGTAAGGTAGAATGGTGCGCGTCTTGGGCTTCTCCTGCCAAACGAATGACAGCAGGTGCTCTGCGACAGCGACCATGATGAAATGCCAGGCCCCCGAAACCCCAAAGCCGCTCGATTCATCAAGCCCTGGTTGGCGTCATCAACTCCACAGCATCCCGGGCGGGAATCTGCGATGATCGGGTTTCAGAAAGTCCAGACGGTGTATTTTGTCGACTCCTTTGACGATGACTGGAAATTGAACCAGCCTACCAGGAGGGTTTCGATTTTGTGCGACGAGGCTGGTCGGGATCCCAGGATGACCCCACGGTGCCCAAAGTCCTAACGTTCTCATGTGGCTGGGCAGTAGTGTATGAATAGTCGAGCCCAGGGGCTGAACTCTCTGTGTCAATTTGCATTGTCACACCGGCAACTGGCTGAGGCCTACCTCATCTCCCAGCAGGTCGCGCGCGATGGGCCACGTTCGGCCGTAGGAGCCAAACGGAAACCGTTGCATTCGATCCGTTCCTTTCCCGTACTCTTTTGTATGGCTCCTCATGAACAGAGAAAAAAAAAAAAAAAAAAAAGAAGCAAGCTTCAATTGGCCCAGGTGTGGTGTCTGACTTAATGCACGAGGTCCCCAAGCCGAGCCGAAACAAGAAATTTCTGGCAAAAGACGCCAGGGCAGGAACGAGAATAGCCGGACCTCGATATTGTTCAGAGGGAGGAATATGTAAAATATCGCGCCATTGAAGGCTCTCTAGTCATTGCTTAGAGTCAGCCGACACAGCGAGGATGCGAATCTCTAATGTCCCTGAGTCTGGTCCGAGATAGCCAATTTGCGACTGTTGTAAGATTCTCTAAAGGTGTGGGCCTCAATTTGCGTGCGCCTGTTGGCGCTTAATCCAAGGCGTAAGCTTGATTATTGTGCAACTTGTCATAGTTGAGAAGGAAGCTGCCCACTCGAATGCAATCGAATGTCGTATTTAAAGTGGTGCTGTGTTTTCGGTCTCAAGAAGACGCCTTTTTTTTTTTTTTTTTTTTTTTTTTTTTTTTTTTTTTACTTTTTCTTCTTTTTGTTTTTTTTTTTTTTTTGTTTGTTTTTGGGGGTTGGTTGTGGTTTTTTTGTTTTTTTTTGGCTTCTGCCTCCGTCGCTTATTTGTATGATGGGGATACTGATAGAGCCATCGGGTGTTAGAAATTGCTGCTGAGAACTGTTCGTGAGAGGAGTGGTGAACATGGGTGGCCCCCCTCTTCCCATCGCGCGAGCTGTTGGCTAGCTTCAACTCGCCTTCAGCGGGTCCTGTTCGCAGCAGCAGATCAAGTCCCTAGGAGGATCCTCTTCGGCATTTTCTCTTCGTTGGCCGACACTGTCATTGTGATGCGCGTTTGCCATTGACCCTGTCCTCAGCTCTCGGCTGTCTCTTTTTCTTTGGTCTGATCATGCCCGTTTGGCCCACTACTCTGCACGCTTCCGGCGAATATCATGGCAAAGGATGATTGATGGGCCGGTCAGCAGGCTCGCTCTTCAGTAAGCCCAGGGGGGTAATCGGCCAGGGCTTCATTCCTGTGCCACTAAGATGCGTGGATGCCACTCGGGTACCCTCTCCTGGGTCTTGACCTCATGTCTGGGCCCACGTTGCTTCCAGGCCGCGTGCGGATGGAGCCATGTCCCCCCATGATGCCTGCCTCCCCCCCTCCCCCCGACTCCGCCTACCCTGACTGGTTTGCCCGCACTCGTGGTTGCTCTTCAGGCGTGGTCGGTGACCCAGAACTGGGACAGGAACTGACGGTAATCTGACAGTGACAAGTAAAGCCGCTCCTCCCCCGAAGCTCCTGTGGGGCAGCAATAGAGTGGGTGGAGCCGTGCGGCCGACGTGGAATGGCCCGAAGGCTACCAGGATAACGGGCTCTTGGAAACACATGCGCCACTGGAATGGGACTGACTTCCAAGTCGTCTCCGTACCCGTAGTACCTCAATTGTTGTCCAGTTGTGTTGAAGTTTGGTTGGTGCATGGCTCGCAGTCGCTGCCGTTGGGCGACAATGATTGCTGCGCTGTCCAATACAGTATCACAGTATGTCAGTAAAATTATTTCATGCGCAGGGCCTCGGCTTGATGGTAGATGGACCTACGGCGATGAGATGCCCGTTTCCGTCCATAAATGAAGCGTCTGGTTGAGGAGGAAACTCAAAACAAGGGTGTCGCCATGAACGCCGGGCGGTCTCGTCACAGTTCTCGACTCTGGGCTCACCGACTGAGGTAGATGTCTTGCTCGCCCGAGATTTCCAGTTGGCCTTGGGTCCTGCCGAAAACGAGCAAATGATGGGCGTTACCAGGATGGAAACAGGCTAAATCTAGAGCATGTGCACGCCGCGGAAAGGTCGAATGTGGCCCTGGCGCTCGCCGACTGCATCATCCCGCTGCTGTTCACCACCTGATTTTCCCAAGCGTCGAGAAATAGCAGTCCCATCTGCGTATCATTCTACACATGGCTAAGATGTCCGTTCGAGTGACTGAAGCCTGAGTTGGTCCGATAAATAGGTACTGGATCGGAGAGGGACAGCATCCCGTCTGGCGGAACTATTGGGTAGGGCGTTGCGACGAAGGTCCTTTGAAAGTGGTTTTTTTATCTCCTGCTCACCTGTTCTGTTGTGCTTGACGGCAAGTCGCGAGATACATAGCAAAGGTGGATATGTCGAGCGCGGACAAGGTTGAAGAAGACGGCGATTCGCGATAGCTATGGCTCGATGTTCCCCGAAGGTATAATGCCGCGCCTCGTTGCTGCGTATAGTAGGATTGGATGTTTGGGGGCTAGCGAGCAAGTCCGACAGTGTCCCGTCCCATCACATCCGAGCCAACCCACAGGAGATCCCCTGCTGTTCCGTCACAGTCGGTGTGGTCGCCGAGGTGAAGTCGACGGCGGTCGGGATACCCTGTCTGTCTGACCATGTGTCTAAACAGATGAAATCGATGCGACGCTAAAGTGTGTAAAGTGTGTGACGGTGTGCCCTGGTGCATGATACACAGCGGGGTTGAAGCCTTGAAGGGGCAATACGTGAAGCAGATGGGACGGGCGGGAGCTCCCACAGCAATGCCATGTGCTTGTGGTCAGCCATACACCATGTCGGCCGAGAGCGCGTTAACGGTTTTAGCACTTGGCTTTCGAATGCAAGGATATGCCTGGTCCATCGGGCCCTGCTGACTTGCGAGGTTTTGACGATATCGCGGCTATGGTGGAGGGTGGGGCCTGTTGCCAGTGCGCGAGCGGATTTGCTTCCTTGCCAAGCAGTGAGGCAAGAGGCAACTCGACAGTACTGAAGTGAAAGGAATGTTTGTGATCGGATCTCGACCTTGTAGGAGAATAGCATATATTGACAGAGGAAAATTAAAGCGAGGCAAGTGTTCTGTTAATGAAAAAGATTACGTTAGACGTGAGAGCACGTCGGTCGGTGCGTTGTTCCTTCCCAGGCAGATTCGTTGCCAGAAAATGAGCGTGGCAGACACGGCCTTGCCTTGAGAGAAAGTAACAGAAAAACCTCGGAAGGTGCTTGCTTGCCTTGCTCGAAGGTAGAGACCGACAGCAACCTGAGAGCTGCCTTCGTATCTGCTTACCCAGGTAGGTAAGTACTTTGCGTGCCTGCCTTCGAGATCTCACATACGTCGGGAAGGGACCACGCGAGTTAGTGCATGCCCAAGGTGCCTCTTGCCTGCCTGTAGACAAACACCTCCGGAACTCGCTGCCTTCAAGTTCGGGTCATCCTGGGAAAAGATTAAGATACTTCATCATCAAGTCAATCAGCGCGGGCGCAAGGCCAGTCGGGGGGGGGGAGTTCCGTGCCTGAATACTTTATGGCAAGATGACTTAAATGGCAATTACCTCAAGGCAAGGTACATGCATCTTTGGCGCGAGGCTCGCGATTGTCTACCTTACGTTACACAGCACCCGCGTCGTGAGTCTAGCCAGTCAATCATTCATTCATTGCACGACGGGAGGTAAAGGTAAGGTAGGTAGGCACGTAGGGTACCTTCCCACGGGACTGGATGAAGACGGGACTGTCGCGTCGATCGGTCCTTCTGTCCGTCTTCTTCGGAGCTGGCCCCGTCTTACCAGCGAATTAGGTAGGCGACTGGGCAGTGGTGGGCTCTGCCTAAGGTAAGGTACGGATCCTGGTTTCCCAGGTAGGTTTCTTTTTTCCCCCTCCACGCTTGGTGAGAATCCTTTCTCCTCAACCTCCTCCACATCGCAATGCTTTAACTTTCTCAGCTTCTCCTCCAGCCCTCCCATCCTCATCGCCGCCCGTTGTCTCCGGTCCCTGTCTCAAGCGTTGTTCCAGCCATCCGGGGAATCCCCCTGTGTTGCATCTGGGTCGTTGGGCATCGGGCTTCTTTTTCCCCTCTACCATCTCTTTGGCACACAGCTGCACCATCCCTCCGATCCCCTCCACACTTAGGACAACCTCATGGCCAGCCAGACGACGCTTCTTCACGCCCCTCATTTCCTCTCTCACTCCGCCCCTCTGCCCCTCCAACAAACGCAAAACTACCACGCGGCTGCGATGCCCCAATTCTGGGCCGGCCGAAGCAGCCACGGTACTGCCGATGATTGGGTCTTGTCATGTTACCCTGTCTGGAGCTCGGCTGCGACCCATCGACGAGTTATTTGAATGCGAAGCCGACATCCTGATCCTACACGACTGCCACAGGGCCTGCACCCTCACTTCCGCGGGCTTGCGGGACCAAATCGGCGCACGTTCTTCCAATCCTCACTCACCGTCCATCTCTGTCCTGTCACCTCGACCTGCCCGCAGTACCAGCCGCATCAGAAATGACCTCGTGCTCCGTACTGGCGGCAATACTCAGCCAGTGCGTGCGCACCATTCGCTGATCATTCGACACTCCCGTCTACCGACCCTGCCATGCCAGGCCAATGCCATGTCTTGCACTCATTCCGCCGCCATGATTGTGGCGCAACTGTTCGAACTATCGCCTCCGGCCTCATTCTCTTGACGCGAACCGAGCTGATGGAACGCCGACTATCCGTCCGCCAACTACCGGCTAGCTAGTAGACCCGCCAAATACGGTCTGATGTTGAAAAGCCTTCACTGGCATGACGGGCGAGCGAGACGATGCCATTCAGCGGACCGAAGCTGCAGCCCCACACACTGCCTCGCCTACGTATTCATCCCATCTGCACGCAACCAAGCACACTCCTAGACAAACACCAGCAGGCACTAAGCCGGGTGTCTTCTACCAACCTAGGTACCAACAGATTTACGATGATCAGACGCGGACAAAGTACTGGTCGATGGGTTTAAGCATACCCTGCAGCGCGCCAGTGCGAAACCCGCCCGTGCCGGTCCTCTCCCCCTCACGATGAGAGGCTTTCACAGATGACGATGACGGAATCGAAGCCGCGGCGCCATCTCCTTGCAGTGGAAACATCGTTGCCGTCCATCTCTACCAGTATGCGACGTGAGAATGGTGCGACTGCGTTTCCAGTGCCGCTACAAGGAAGCGACGCACCGCGTCAATTCGACAAATATTGGTGAAGAGCCTGCCTTTGTTCTCCCGCTACCCACCCACACCTACGGGTGATCACTTGACTGATCAACTTGTCCGATGTGCGCCCTGTCGGCTGCCCCAGAGACACAAGGCGATAACGCGACGCCCGCCAAGAAGGGGGGGAAAAAAACCCCCATCCCCACCGGTAGCATGATGGATTCGGTCCAGTCCCAGAGGCTTGTGCTGACAGCGCCGTCGTCGGGCCATGGGCGACTAAGGCAGACCCAATCGCCTGTCAGACTTTCTTTTTCCGTTCTTAGCGGTCCATTCTGGCGGGAGGGGCTACCCCCTACCCCCTCACCCCCTCCCCCTACCCCTACCCCCTACCCCCAGTTCCACCGGGCTCATGGATTCTTCTTGGGGGTTTGCCGGTTCCCATAATTTTCGTGTACCCGGTACATCTAGATACTTCGTACCGACTTCATGGGTCGGGCAGAGACAGCCCCGCCCCCCTTTGTCTTGCGCAGCTCTCGACGCACCTTAGATCAAGTAGCGTTGATGAATCGCGCCCGTCAGATCTTTCTACCCGTTGCATCGAGTACTCCGGTTTCGAATCTTTTCCCGAAGGACGGACAGGCTGGAGGGACGGTTCCGACGACGTGACGGCAGGGAATCCTCAAGGTCAACGAGTGGACGAGATTGGGGTTCACTTGGTCCTACCCCTAGTCACGCTAAGGCAAAGGGAACCGGGGGCTTGCGCAAGGACCGGGGGCTGCCGACCATGCAACGCCGCGCCGCCCGCTTCCTAAAGGATACTCCCGTTTCTGCCGTTTCGTCGTACATATCCCGCATATCCATCACTTTTGCCAATACGGATGGCCCTACAGCAATCTATCTCACCGCGAGACCAACACCTTCATGTCTGTGCACAACTTTTGGGGCAGAGCCACGATGGGAGGTCTGCTCGATGCAGTAGTACGTCTTTTGTTGTGATGCACTTGCATCTACTCCTAACCCAGTTCGATATCAGCTGCAGCGTTATATCATTTCAATGTGGTACGAGACCAGGTATCTCCCCAACGCGCATGATACAATCCTCAGCTTGCCTGTTCAGCCAGGTAGCCCGCTTACTACCGATATTCCATGAATCTATTCTGCGTTGCTCGACTTTTGCTTCCAGCGCGTGGCAATATGACAGCGCTTTCGGCCTGCCAGGTCTGATGACTGTTGTGAGCGTCACCGTTGTACAGGATGGCAGGGGTCTTGCGTCGCCACACGCATTGTGCATCCCAGTGAGTCCCAACAAAGGCGATCCAATCACCAGCCCGCGACGAAGGTGTGCCGCTGTATTTTCTAGTCACCAGATTTTAGGGCAAGATGAATGGCTTGCTCGAGGACAATTGAGGATAACCTGCTTACCGCTTCCTTCAATTGGAGGGTTGCGGGCGAAAAGCCACGTCTAGACATCTCCGCAGACCAGGATTGGTCAGGCTCCACTCAGTACACTGTATCACATCAACATTCCTCAGCCTACTTCACGCCTGTAAACCTTATTACTGTCACAACAATGTAAAAAAAGGGTCACAGAAAAGGTGTTGCAAGGAGAGTCTGGGCAGCGCTGAAATCACTGACTTCCTTCGCCAGTGGCAAGCACTCTTTTTACTCCATGGCCTTCATGATAAGCTCGCTCGAATTGAATAGCGTGGCGTTTGGTCGAACCCGGCATGAAAACGGAGAGACAAGCTCGAGGCAAAGCTACATTCCACACTGTCGCCGCTTTGGTATAAAATCCGCAAAGACTCGAGACCCAATTTAACAAGGAGAACGCAACACGGCGTGGTGACATCGTTCATGTTACACAAACAAGAGCAATATCATCAAGGGGATTGGTAGTACCTGGAACTGAACAAATGTAATCGATCAACTACTCGGATTATTGCATACCAGTGCGTTGGAGTCTCTCTATCACTGGTGAATGCGCTGCTTCCAACCAAGTCTGCTTTCTTCCTCGTAGGTATCCCGGCCATGGCAGGGAATGAGTGTTGCTTGCTCACCCGGTCAACGGCCCCAGTGGTGGAAATTTTGACGGTGTGAGCCAAATGTTGGACGGCGACAGGGGCGTGCCGCCCAGATTTCGCCAGCCATGTTGACGATCAAAGACAGAGCTCTACACGGTCAAAGGTAGCAAGACTTGGCTTCCCTTTCTCAAGACTGCGACCTCATCCGAGCTCCTGGTAGAGGAACGATGCTAGATGCTTTTCCGGGTCTGATGTTTCTCTCTCTTATCTGTGCTTGTAGTTCATTTTTGGCTTATCTAGGTAAGTCCCCAAACATTCTTTTACGGCCCCCTCACGTCCGACCAAAGTTTCGATCATTTCTCGCATCCGACTATTGCAAGGAGCAATGATACTTTTGAGAACGGCCTTGTCGTCGCTCTTTCTTCGGCTTTTCTCGGTCTCACAGAGCGAGGCAATGCTCGGGCGGCAAGGAAACAACTTTGACTGGTTGGCCTTACTTTTTGGTTACATGAAGAATTGAAGGCAAACTGTTGAAAATCTGCGCCGGCAATCTAGCAGTCTCAAACGCTTCTGCTTGGTCCCCAAGGAACAAAATCATGACAATAGAAAAGAAGTGATGATGAGGTATTATCTCCAGACACCGGCATATTTTACGACCGACTATCGCTGTGCAGTTTCTGCCGCAGAAACAGCAGTCGTGACTGGTGACCTGGGTCCCATCCCAGCAACGAACGGGTTTTGATAGCTCATTGTGGTAGAGCCAGTCCGCGCCATGGTGAAGCATTCGAGTGGGACGAAAAGCACCATTTTGAGAGGCGGGCCGGGCCTCGTGGAGCCGTGTCACCGAACTAACAGTGATGGGGAAGATGATGGCAGCTCGAAGATAGCGGAGCAGTCTGCACGCCCTGAGGTTCGCACAAAAGCAACAGTGCGGCAAAAGATATCGGGATAGGAAGCCATGTTACAATGGTACGTGATCAGCCACCAGCCACCAGCCACCAGCCGACTTCGTCGACGTTGGTACCAGACAAGGTGAGGGAGGCGTGCTGCTAGTTTGCCAGTCCGGTCGTCTCGACAGCCTGCTACATTGGACTAGGTAGCCCATACGTCCTGCATGTCAGCCATCTGCACGCTTGCCGCCGGCTGGTCCGCGCTCACTGAATGAGTCTATTTCTTTCCACTGGGTCGGGCGGCTTGCCTTCGTGGTTGGCTGGGTTTACAGGAAGTGATGTTCACGATACGTGCCTGCAACCTTGTCCTGGCTGGGGCCAGCTGGAGGCATCGGGCGAAAAGAGTTCGTGCACAATCCGGCAGTACTCTGTCCATTCCAATATTCAAAGCCTATTGAGGGTTGTCACAGCCTGACGATGAATAAAATGACACGGCACATTTTGCCAACGGACCAAAGGACCAACCGGGCCAGTTAGGTAACCAACCAATCAACCGGAGCACCGACCTTGCGAACCTCTGGGCTCTCACGTTCTCTGTACCCTGCCGTGCCTGCCTACCTACCTGGCTTCTGGTACCGGTACTTAATTGGCGAGGAGCGCATCCAAGCGACTGGGCCGCTATCAACAAGCAATCGTCCTGTGGTAGCGCTGGGGTGTTCTCTGATTGTCAAAGGCCATTGGACAGATCGGGGGACATTGGGTTTAGGGACATCACGTGATCGAACGCGCATGCATGCAGCCGTCGTTCCCGCGAGGTTCCCCATTTTTTACCTTCGATTCCCTTGCTCTCCACGGCCCGCCACGACAACCACTTCCCACTCGCGCACTCTTCAAGACCTGACCAAACCTCACCTCACCTCCCCCTCTGCCACTGCCTCTGCCTCTCCTCTTCATTACGTGTGGAACTTCCACCCCTATGGCGCACTCTCAACTATTTCGATACACGCACACAAAGCCCTGTCTCTTCACTATTCCTACGACCTTGACCTACCCCTTCATTCCGTCTGAAAAGAAAACTTTAGACACGCCCGCCTAGCCAATCGAGCCTTGCCACTTACTCTGGCATCACGGACCTCTTCGGTACATGCAAACTTGCCATCCTGGTCCGCCTGACCTCCTGGACCTTGACAGCGTCTCTGAGTACCCGGTCCCTGCCCCCGCTTGCCCAGCTTGACTTTGGGCACATCAACGATTATTAGCTGCGCAACAACGGGGGCCATTGTGACCACCTTTTACCCCCCTCTCTCTCTCCGTTGTTTCCAGCAAATGCCGAGTCTTGGACCCTCCTCGGAGGGTGTGGTGGCAAGTTACCAAGTCGAAGACCAAGGGTGGGATTTGAAGCAAGGGATTTCTGTCCCTGTGCTCTGTCCGCCCCAAGATTATTCCAAGACATTTCCCATCAAGCGGCAAAAGCATATCAGACACTCAAACTAGTGCCCACGATTGACGCGGCGACAACGACAACAAGGACGATGACGTGTCATTTCCTCCTACCTCAGCATTTGAGTGAATTTTGATGGCGTGCGGGGCACAACCCGATCAGCTCTTCTACCGAGACAAGCCGCCCGTTCTTGTTCACGTCCAGTGGAGATGGGCGACCAGGAACAATAGCACCAAGACCATGTACAATTTTCGCTTTGCACTGGGAGACCAATCTGAGAGAAGAAGTGACTTCTATACACAGTGCGTGCAAATACTGCTGCACACGCTGTGACGCTACCGCAATCTGCCAGCCGGGCAAACCTGGCAAACCACGCCAAATCGAATAAGCAGGGAGATTTGACCTAGTCGATTCAAGGCCAAGGGTGGAAATTGGACTGTTGCAAAGAGCATGGCTCCAATCGATGAATATCAGACGAAAGACGAGGGAAGAGCCATGGGTGAGGGCTGAACGGCAGAATGCGGTGGAAGCTTCATGATCGAGACACGTCGACGACGAATGAGCCTGAGTATTGAGCAGGGCTGTCGCTGGCAGGATTCTTGCATTTAACTCGCCGCCGTCGGAAGCTTTCCGTGGCGACTTACCTCGCCGGAGCGCTTCCCCCTGAGTGCCGCCGGTGCTCGTCGCACGGTTTGCCATATTGCCAGTTCAAACGGCCACACGAGAGACGTGCCAGTGACGCCACTGATGGATGGATGTCTCAGGGTCAGTCTACTTGGGCCGACAGGAGCTGCGACGTCCAGAATTACTTACCATCAAGCCATGCAGATAGATGCATGGCTTGCTGGTTTCGGGTTCCTAGCCACATCAACTGTCTCCCACGGGACATCGGCCACATGCAGGCTGAACGGGCGGACGGTGGAGAGGGAGACACCCGCCACAAGGACCAGGAGACAAGGCAGCCGAAAGACGAGACCACAGGCTAGGATCCATGCCGGATGGACGATTGACGGTTGCTCAACAGACTTCCCGCTGCGCATGTAGTCTGTCCCCAACCCTTCCTTGTACCGTCGTTCGGTACGTAGGCGAATTTGGCAGAATGGGCCAGCTCCACGTCCAACGGCGATTGGCAATTACTATGTATGCTGCGGCACACCATGGCTGAGGTACAGGACGCGCCGCACTAAGGTAGTGCAAAACTGCAAGCCGGCCAGCCCAGCAGCGGGACGTGTGTCGAATGGACTGCAATCAGCTTCGGCCCTCCAACGATCCGAATGAATGCCTTCTTAATCTTCCCCAGGGTATGATCCTTCCCTGGTTCCATGCCATTTTGTCAGATTGAACAAATTGGCAGGTAACAAGGTCTGTTTGAGAGAGTCGAATCCTTCCGATGGTGGATTGAATATACTGAAGGTTGGGCACTTGGTCAAGAGATGCGGCAGCTTCTCTAGCACGCTACTGCACAAGACTCTCTTTGCCCACTGAGGGGTTCCCTTGAGCGTGCTGAGTGAGCGGCACTCCTGGCACATGAGATGGTGGGGAGCGAGGTATGGGGTCCTCGAGCACGCGCGAAGGCAACGAGGATGGGCTGGCTCGTAGGAGACGGCATGGGATGGATGGTTGGGGCAGCAGAGGCACACTGCACGACGGCGGCAAAGCAGCGGTGAGCAGAATATCTGACGTCCTCGTCCTGGTTTTGGCACCGAGTACTGGGCAGCTCGGGTCCGTTCATCCCGTACTCGACACGGCCGTTGTCTTTCGCCATCACGTCCATGTGTCGATATTCAGCCGAGTTTCGGATCGGAGAAAAACGAGAGTATTGGCTTTGCCCCTCTCACCTGACCTTTTTCCTCGATGGAATGAATTCCACTCGACGACGAGGTGCAGCTCATGGGCTCAGGCGACGATTCTGTCATGCGATACAATGGCTGTTGTTGGTCGACAAACGAAGCGGAGATGACCTGTCAGATCTGACAGCTGTGTCGTCGCAAGCCACGCGGCGGCAGCGGCGACGGCCGGTGGTACAATTGACTACGGATGCTATGGGAAGAGGAGCACGTTTTAACCAACAACCCATGCGGATACCGAGCACGATACCAGGATGCACACATTTTGGGGCCTTGGGCGGCTTCTTTCTAGGGGTCCCTGACTCTTCAAGGTGCGCAATCCATCTCAGCAAGGCAGCCGAAACGGTAAAAAGAAAGCGCTGGACGAGGAGATTTGAGGATTTCTTTCGTTGTCTGAGTGCCTGATTGGAGTCGCTGTGAGGGGTTGCTTCTTTTTGGGCCCCTTTTTCCCTTTTTCCCTTTTTTTGTTTCCCTTCTTTCCTTTTTTTCCCTCTCCCCGTTTCATTCCCTACTATGTATACCTACCTACCGACTCCTCAACCACCATCTCGTCCGCCGTCTCCCCGCTTGCCTACCAACCATCGCCGAAGAAATCTGTCCCCCCCTCTACCCCCGCTTCGCGTCCGTGGCTGCCGATACCTTGCAGCAAATTTGCAGACCAACAAGAAAACTACACCCCATCCCATCTGCGTTAGCAGTCTATTGGCGATGCATCATGTACAGTACTTTGGTTCGTTTTGGGCTCCCCTCGTCACCCATCGGCGCCCACCCCCAGGCAGCCGGGCATGCACCCGTCGTCCACGTCGTCCACGCCTTCTAAGACTGGGACGCTCAACTTCTGAAGACGGACTGTGGCTCCTAATTGCGCTCTTTCGGGCCAGCTGCATGACAAGTAGCATCCAAGGGGGTGGGCTCGAACCACTAAGACGGCTTCCGAAGCTATTCGTGCGACCTTTGCTGCTGCTGCTGCTGCTGCTGCATGGCCGCTTGGGCCCGTCACCGCCCGCATGGTGCTGCAGTCACAAGCTGCGGACCGATGCGGCCTGCAGCAGGATCGGCGTCGATCCGCTTGTTTTTTCACCACCAGAAATCCTGTCCGCGGCACCTGTGTTGCCTTACGCCCGGCGGTCCTCCCCCGTCAGCCCCGGTCGGTCACACACCGTCAAGTCAACCCCGTGTTGTCCTCCCCCGGTATTTGTCTCTCGGGCTTCATTCAGACTTTGTCTTTGCTTTTTCTATCCTTGCTCGGTGGCTGGAAACCTTTGGCGCTGCTGTATGTACTGTGGTATGGCAGCTCCTCAGTGCAAGGGAACACAGACCTCGTCAGGCATGCTTACGGCCGATTCTGGCTTGTCAACGCGACTGCGTTGCTCGCAGTGCCGCCATGTAGGTACCTGCTTGTATGACTCGACGGCGGCGGGTAACGCCGCCCGGTGAAGCGATGTGTGTGTGTGTGTGTGTGTGTGTGTGCGTACGGAGTACAGAAGAGGCAAATGCTTCCAGGTTCTGTCGTCCAACCTGTCACGCTTGCAGTGGGTATTTCGGACGGGCATCCCATCCCAGCCCCTCCCTTCCTTGCCGGGCCCGCGGCTGTAACCTGATTTGGGGCCCGAGTGCGTCTTCGCATCCCGCCCGAGGTCGCTTCGGTGGGCTACGAAAGCGCGCCGCAAAACGTCGGCCCCAGGGTTCGGCCAAAATCTTTGGTGGATGGATGCTCATGGCTGCGAGCGCTGGGAAGGGGAAAAAAAAAAGGAGGCAGCCGCAGGATGACGGGCTCTTACTCTTCTAACTCCTCTACCTCCTCAACTCAGGTATTTGTATGGGAGGCCAAATGGAAGAAGGCCAACAACCAACCCCCCTCCCGTGCCCCCAAAGAATTGGGCAGGCGACTTTTACGAGAAGCGGTGCAGCATCAGGTACTGTTCAGTTGGCTAGGAAGGCAAGGCCGGGTCGGGGTGGGAGGGGGGAAACGGGACAGATCTCTAGTTCGCCGTTTCCCCCTTCCGCCTTGGATTCAGGCACTTCGACTGAACTCCTGCCAGAACCGGACGGGAGAATCCACAATACTGATCGTGCCCCGGAAGTCCTTGCCCCGTGCCATCCCAGTCTCATACACGTCAAGTCACGTGATACGGCAAGTGCTGCTTAGTTGTTGTATGAAGACGCTTCAGGTGTTACTTTCCCTCGCTACCCGCCCGTGTCCCGTCTCTCGAGTCTCTTGCCAACGGTGCCTCCACAGTTTTTTCGTTCCCCGCTCCGGTACTCTTTTCGTTCCCCCATTATTCCAGTCGGGAACCACCTCCGGGAGGGTCCATTGGGTTTATGCGGACTGGAGACTTTTTTTTCCACTCGCCGAGTTTCCAAACCTATCAACCCCCCCCCCCCTCCCCGGCCGGATCTTTTCCGCGGACCTTACCGGACACTATGAAGTGACCGAAAACTCTCCGCGCAAAAAGGAATAAAAGCAACGTCATTTGGTGGTTGGGCACGCATCGGTCATTAGGCCGTTGAAGATCAACAACTCTGACATATTGGTTCTTTTTTCTTCTGGCATCTGAGTACCTGGAGACGGGAATCCTTGCCCAGCGAGCCGGGGTGGTTTTTTTTTCCTTTTGGACCTTTCTTCTTCTTTTTTTATCCTCCAATCAGAAGACGGATAACATTGAGGAGGGGAAAAGAAACGAATTCCCGAACCAGATTTCGATAACCCTGGATAGACGGACGGACAGGCCGGAACACAGGAATCTTTGCCGGAAAAACAAGCGCCCACTTCTAGTTACCGAATATCTCCCCATCGACATTATGGCTGAGAATGACACTGCCAGCGCCAATAAGGCTTACTTCAAGTGCGTATACAAAACCTACAAATACACACAAATACACATACACACAGACCCCCCTCCCGGTCTCTTTGTCGTCGTCCTTTCAGGGCGATGGAGGAAGGGACGGGGCCAGGACAGGATAACTCGAGTAACATCCGATTTGTCCGCATTCACTTCCCCGGGTCCCTGCAGATATGCAACACGACACAACACCCTGCCTCTCATTTTAACTCGCAATATACGACTGCTTTAAACCCCCATTTCTAGGAAATGTTCAATGTGTATGAAAAAAGTTGTTCAAATGCCTTTTCCTTGCTTGGACATTGTGTCCCCCCCCTCCCACCATTTCCCAGCAAATGAGAAAGATCGAAAGCACCCAAATTGGCTAACACCACCGACCGTGAGTAGTAAGCTAGCAGCAGAGTACGACGCAAAGTACGAAAAGACCATTTTGCAGCTCGAAAAGGAGGTCCGCATACGCAAGGACTTTATTGGTGCGGATTGGGTTAGTGAAGATGATGATGATGACGAGGAGGACGATGATGAGGGCGCTGTAACACAGCCCACGGCGGCAAACAGCCGGCCGGTGAGACTTCTCGACTACGCTTGTGGAACGGGTTTGATATCGAGGGTGAGTCCTTTGTTTTCTAATTTTCTTTGGGGGGGGGGGGGTGGAGGGCGCGCTGCCAGCGGGCGCCGTGGCGCGGGCGAGCGTGGGGTGGGGTGGTGTCGCTCTCGTTGTTGGTCGGGTGGGGTGCGGGGGGGCTGTTTTTTGGTTTGTTTGTGTCGGTGGGGGGGGGGGGGGGGGGGTAACAGTTATTTCCTGTAACCTTTACTACTGTTTGTGAGTGGGAGTTCATTCTCTCGAATACTCCCCGATTTGTGTTCTGTTCGTAACGCAATTTTGTCTGCTCTGTTTCAAATGTTGTGTATTTCTTATCGTGTAACATGCCACCCGTTTTATATATGATGCTTCTTTTTCTTATTCTCAAGTGTACAGCATACTTTGCGTGCAGAAACGATGTTTGAGTGTAGTTGGACTTGTCGCTAATTTGAAATGACGGCAGGCCCTCGCGAGGTTCACGACGCATTGTGTCGGCATAGATATTTCCGAAAACATGGTGGCAGCTTACAACACCCGGGCCGAGAACCAGGTAAGTTGAAGTTGATATGAGTTGAACAAGGCGAGAGAGAGAGAGAGAGAGAGAGAGCCAAAATGGCTCGATTTTCCATTTCCAGTCATTGTCTCTGCGTATACATCACCACCCTCCCCCCTTTCCCCCCTTCTATCGTTCTATGTATTTCAATCTGCCCACGATCAGTGTCTGTCAAGGTGGAGAGGGAGAGGGAGAGGTAGCGGTTTGAAAAAGGTCTACACCAGACCAAAAAGACCAGACCATGGGGCCGCAAAAGACACAGAGAACAGACCGGATCGTTCGCCTCACACGGATACTCACGGACTCGTTTCGGCAAAAAGCACAGACAATCTTCTGGGGAATTGAGAAATGGCTGTGTGTTGTGTGCGGCGAAGGAAAAGTCAAACCCCCCCGTCTGAGCGCCGTGCCGTCGTCCATGATGATGAAGGTGGTGACCCCGTCCGTCCTCCTTTTCTCACACCTCATGTTGGTCTCATCTAAGCCCTGCTGACCACGAACCCCGCCATGACATGACGCGGACACCACGAAATCTCACTTTCTTTTGGTTTCTCATTCTGAACGCCCCCTCCCCCCCGACCTCTGTCTCTCACCCTACCCACCCCCCTCCCCTCCCTAAATCTCCCTAAATCTCATCTCATCCCATCTTTTCGACAGAGTTGCCGTCTCGGGCGAAGCTCCCGGCATACATACCCCTTCCTTACCCCCTCTCCTCTCTCAAATTCAGCCGTGGACCGAACAAGCCTGTGCGGTTGTGCGGGCGGCGGCGCACGGGAGATATTGCGTGACCAACCCTGCGCAAGTGCTGCAAAAAGTATACGAGACTTGGAGAAAACAGAGAGAAAGAAGAAAGGGAAAAAAAAGTGAAAAAAGCTCAGCTGACTAGATGACTGACATGTACTCCCCGCGACTAACAGGGTCTGAGCATCGACGAAATGCACGCCTATCAAGGCAACCTCACGGACCCGTCCGATCCGTCCCCGACAGCATTTGCCGACGAAGACGGTGACGGCGGCAACGGCGGCCGATTCCGCGACTTTGACGTCGCCGGCGTCGGCCTCGGCTTCCACCACTTTGTGGACCCGGAGCTTTCAGCCCGCCGCCTCGTCGAGAGGCTGCGGCCCGGCGGCGTCTTTCTCATTCTCGATTTTTTGCCGCATGGGGAGATTGACACGGCGCTGCCGGCCGCGCAAACCGTTATGCATCACGGCTTCTCGGAGGAGAGGATGCGGTTCATTTTTGAGCAAGCTGGTGCGGGTAAAGATTTTGCAATGGAGGAGCTTGGGAGAGGTGTCGTTTTTGGAGGGCATGGACACGGGCATGGACATGATCATGGACATGGACATAGCCACGGGGAGGAAAAGGGGCATGATCATGGCCACAGTTCAGGGCAGGGGATGAAGAGACGGGTGTTTCTGGCGCGGGGAACCAAGGCTTAGATGTTGATGGGCTCACGTGGTCATGAATTTCAAAAGTGAACTTTGGCTTGTACCACTACTCCAGACGCAGCCGACCGGGACCACACTTGTGAATGTCGTGCCGCCCACTGTGTTCAACAGCTATATGGCCTATGCCTGCTACTCTTTATCACTGACATCAACAGCAAAGGCACCTCCAAGCAGAATAGCAGGCTCTTCAATGCTGTGATGCTCGTAGCTGTTTCCTGATCAGTCTGGCTCACGTCAACCAAGATGCTTCGCGACTCACCTCAAAGTACCGACACCGCCGGCCTCGAGCAAGAACGCCGGTCCGTCCTGCAGCGTCTTGCCGGCCCAGCGCATGGCAAAGGCACGGAGGATGTGGCCGTGGGCAATGATGAGCACGTCTCCGTTGGCTGCGTTCTTGTTGCCAATGACGGGACTATGCCACCTGTCGCGAATGTCCTTGATCAGGCGGTCCAGACGTTCCGTCACATCCTGAGGGCTCCTGCGGGGTGTTAGCGAGGCAACCCAAGGTTGAAATCCCCGTTGGCCGTACACGGGACTTCTCATCACGTGGATGATCCAGATGTAAAGTTTTGAAGCAGCACTCAAGTCGACAATTTTTCCCCACTTTGATGGCTAGCTAATTGACGACGCCGTCTCGGGGAAACACCACGAGCTAACCGGTATGGATGGAGAGAGCACATCAGGGGAAGGAGAAGAGACTTACTCGCCGCCCGGGCAGCCATCGCGCCAGATGTCCCAGGTCTCAGACAGACCCTGCTCCTTTCGGATGCGGCGGATCTCCGGCGACGTGATACCCTCGTAGTCGCCGTAGTCCCATTCGCGAATGTCCTCGGTGACCTCGACGCAAGCATTGCAGTGCGGGCCGTTGCCCTCGACCTCCCCGTGGTTCTTCCAGGGGAGGCTGTCGTCGATGCCAAGATTCAGGAGCTCAAAGGTGCGTTGGGCGCGCTTGCGAGGGGAGACGTAGCTGACTTGGAGTTTAGCAGGAGCTCATACTGAAATGGAATGATGCTGAGGTTGATCGGGAGTGCAAGGTGACGTCACTTGATGTAGACCGCCAGACATGTGTTTGAGTAGGACTCCAGGCCAAAGAAGTGAGTGTGCTCTTGGTGAGGCTCATTGGATACATACATGTGAGAGATCCTTTTGGGCACGATGAGGCGGTCACTCCCCACCAGGGCGCGGCCGGTGGCTCGCACACGCTTCTCACCGTTGGCAGTGAGTGGGATGTCGGTGCTACCGGTATGCCGGCCGTTGAGAGACCACTCCGTCTCGCCGTGACGGATGACGAAGGCGCGGGGAGTTGTCATGGCGGCGGTGCAACAAAATTTTCGCAAAGCCGAATCAACAGCGGGTGTAAGTAACCTCGAATGGGTGAGTGGGAATATTATGCGATCTCTACCGATGCCAAAGTTTTTCGGAGTCTAGTGGATGACGGCGCAGGGACGCCCAAGTCAGCATGGTCCTGTCGCAGCAGCGAGATCTTTACGTGTGTATGTGTATGTGCTTGTGACGTTTTACGCATGAAAAAAAAGGCCCAGAATCTGAAATGGAATGGTGGGTTGTGGATGAGAGCAAGTTGAGACGGACGGGCTCGACATAACGTTTCTGCTTTTGCAGATTTTGGCTCAGCCGTTCCGCCCTTCCCGCCTTCGCACCCCATCTCAGCTCAGTTCAGAGCATTTCTGAGACTTCACGGAAGCAGAGAGGACGTTGGCCATGGCACACCTCATCGGGGGGTTGTTTCCTGCAAGTGCCAACTCTGGCGGATAAGTCCATGGTCCATGGCCAATATCCAACAATATCAGCCAACTTGGGCTCAGGCCATGCGGGGGTGGCAGTGATGGATCCCTTCTCAACCGCTTTTTCGTGTCGCGTGTCTGATGTTTCTTCTCGTGTCTCCGATCCTGACAACTGAGAAGACGAGTCTTTCCCAACCCTCTTACTGGCCCTTGTAACATCTCTCCATGCTCCAGCATCGATACGGTGGCAGTCCGCGCTTCTCGCGTGCACTTGCCGCAGAATGCGTCCCATCTCCCCGTCGTCATCCGGCTTTGTGACATGTGTCTGGTTTTATGCAGCCCAGGGTAGGTCGGGATGGCCATGGGGGGGAAATGTGAGAGTGCCTTTTGGGCTTGTAGCAAACGGAGATCCTCTGTAGTTTCAGCAAGGGCTGTAACGAGCAGGGGTCGCACCAGAACCCCACACGGAAGAGAAGTACCTGGACGTAATCACTGCTCCAAGGGAAAGATGCGACGACTTGTCTTTGCTTGACGGAAGGAAATAGACGAGAAAGACCTGGGGGATGATGATGGTATGGCGAATGTGAGATTTGAAGACTCAAGGAAGGGAAGATGGACGCTGCAAGGGCGTAGGGATGAATGGTGAGAGGGAAGGAATAAGGAGGGAGAGGAGATGCTCTCACGAAGTTTGTTTCAACGCACCAGCAAGAAGTGGGAATGAATAAGCCCGTTTGAGGATGCCCTGGGCAGCGAAAAAAAACGCGGATGGGGTCCTGACGGTGGTTCTTACTCGGCTTCTCTTATCTCTAAATCCTTTCGCTCGCTTCAGGGTCGTAATGGCGCAATCGACAAAAAGCTCAAGGTCTCCCACACTCTCTAGTTGTTCGACAGTGTTTTTTTCCCCGGGTGTATTGTAGCTCCTTCGTCCAGGACGTTGCACGGGATCACTTCTTATGAGCCTTTTCCCCCCCCCCTCTCAACTAGATTATCCGCAACATCAGTAATGACCCGAAGCGACGACGTCACGCCAACCCCGGCACTGACAGGACGATTACTAAGAGCGCTGGGGCTCCCTTCGTCTTCTCTCTCTCGGCGCCAACGTCTGCAGCGGGGCCTCTGCCACGGCGTTTCTACCACCGTCTGGGCTGCGACCGAGACTACCTGGACTACCGACACAACAGACGCGAACGCGCTGGAGCTCATTGCTTGGCCGTACTCTACGCCCGCCCCCGCTACAGACCCGTCGACGCCGACTTGGACGACGACGACCGATTGCTGTTCCCCTAGCCGCGATTGCGCACACGACCCACTTGAAACAACGACCCGACGGCGGCATTCTCAACAACCACTCGACAGACCGCAGGGCCACAGGCGAGCTAATTCTCTCGATTCGACGACTACCGATCTTTCGACCGATTCTTCCTCTTCAACATCTTCGTCAGTCTCCTCACGATCTCGTTGGAACTTGTTCTCTTCAGCGACCAACGAATTGACGGCCTCAAACCGACGGTCCAACGGCGTGGATGACACGAGGAGTAAAAAATCGAGAGAAGTCTGGAGAGATTACTGGTAAAGCACCGACGCAAATCGAGAAGCAAAAAACCCAGCTTGAGAAGCCGAGAGGGGGGAGAGCTTCAAGCATAAAGACTGTGAAGATATGAGCGGCTTCACAAAATTTCGCGCTGGTCTCACAGCCGCCGGCTGCGCCGCCATCATCTTCACAGGTGCCACCTATGGCGCTGGCTTGAAGACGCAGAAGGAATGGAAAGAGGTGAGCGGAATAAAAGACTTTCTTTTGCGCAATAGCACCGTATGTACTAATGGACTCTTCCTCGTTAGGAACGGCAAAGCTTCTGGGGGTCTCCGTACGATGAGCAGATCTCCCTCCTGCAGGGCCAGCGTGGCCGGCTAGTCTCGGAGCGCCGGAATTGGGAGAGAAAGCTCGAGTATCTGGATGAGAGGATAAAAGAAAGAGAGGAGAAGAAGCCAGAAAGTTGACTGTCACCGACGTCGTAAAAAGTCTGATTTAGGGATATTCTGCAAAAGCCGACGAGATTTCGGCCTCGAGCAGTGACCACATTCACCGGGGATGGAATAGGTGTTGCTTCAACAGGACGCGCGCATATTGAGGCACAAGACGACGATCAGAGCCTGCGCAGAAGCGACCAGCCCACGCTCAGGGCCTTGGCGGGCGCCAAGGTAATTTTGTATAATCAGGTCCACCGACCATCCGCAAGCTGCACACAGGAGTAAAACATAATTGTAGCGATCACCATCTGTGTAATGAACAGCATCCATTACATTTATCCATCCGTCTGTCTATGCCCTAGAAGTGCTTTATCCCTTTGTCACCGGCTCGTTTTGCATGCCTCCCATATCCTCGTTATCGCTCGAAAACGCCAAGTTGATGCCCCCAAGAGCTCTGAGCAGCTGAATGTTCCTACTCGGTCTTGCCTTCATTGTCAATCGTCGGAAGAGGGATGGCCCGGTAGAGGCAGATGAGAGCAGAGTGTGACTCGCCACCACCCGCCAAGGCATCGATTTTGTCAGGCGTCACCTCAGACACCTTGTCGTCGTTGAACCACCACCAGTTTCCATCCTCCTCACCCTTCTTACCGGTCTTGGGATCGACAGGAGCAGTCTTCTTCACATAGGCGGTATAATGACCGCTGTCGGCACTCGCCCCCTGGTGAGTGACAACGCCGCGCAGCTCGTAGATTCCGGACTGGTTGGCGCCTTCATCCTTGGCCAGATCCTGGTTGACCAGAGCATAGAGCTCCTTCTTGGCAACAGTGAGAGCCGCGTCCTTCTCGGCTTCGACCTCAGCGTCGGTCTTGAAAGTCTCAGCCATTTCTGTGTCGCCATCAGAAGTGGTAGCAACGGGCTTTCCGGCTCTCTCGGCCTTCTTATCATTGGCCTTTTCCAGAGCCGTCTTGCCGTCGGGACCACCAGAAGCCCCGGCAACGTCGCCTCTGTCAGTAGGGTTGATCTTGCGTCTCTTGCGAGCCCGTTCAATGTCCTCTTCGTCCTTGCGAATCTCGCGAACCTTGTCGCGCACAGGAATGAGAGCCTTCTTCAGCTCATCGGTGCAGAACTCAACAACGTCAAGTTCGTGGGGGAAGGTGACCTTGCGCATGATCTTGGCTTTCTTCTGGACTTCCCGCTTCCAGAAGAATCGCACAAAGTGTACCGTGAGATACTTGGGCAGCCGTGAGATCTGCGACTTCTTGGTGTAAGTCGTGTCTCGATCCAGCACCGAAGACTTCTTCTCCAACTTCTCGGTCAAAGCAGCCATGATACCGTCGCGAAGGTGGTTGACAGTGGCGTCAATGTGGCAGTTGAGCTTGAGGAAAGATTCGGTTGACCTGACAGGCTCCTCTCCACCATCTCTGGCAGCCTGCTCGTCGACCTCGAGGGTTGACTGGAGTTCTCCAGCCATATAGCTGTCGATAAACGAGGAACCCTCAGACTCTGAGAGCTTCTGCTTCAATTGGGAAATGATCTGGGACCAGGCCTCCTCGGCATCCTGCTGAGCATAACCAGCTCCGGTCTTGGACTTCTCCGCGAACTGAGGGTATACCATGCGAAGTGTACTCAGGAAAGTCAACGGGGGAATCGCACCCTGTGTTTCCGACATGTTCTTATAGAGATCGGTAAGCTGAGTGGCGATGTCGGTCGAAGTTAGGCCAAAGCTACTGCTGGCACCACCGCTACCCGACTTGTGCGTGGTCAGGGCCGTCTGGAGCTCGGGGATCGATCGGAGGGTCTGGAGAGTTGAGTTGAGGTAGCAGGTGTTGCCCAGGTTGGTAAGGCCGGCGGGGGTCGCTCCTTCCTGTTGAGCTGCTTCGGCTTCGGTCATGTCCTCGACAAACTTGACTGCTTCCTTGGGTCGAGCGAGATCTGCGTTCTCTCCGGATGGCTTACCCATCATCATCAGTGTAGCGCCGGCCTTAAGGCCAAACTTGGCCATATCATCATCGTCCTTGACCTGCTTGCCCTTGACGAGAATCTTTTGTCGCTCGGGCTCAACGCCGGTCAGGCTGTAGAGCTGGTACTTGAAGGTTTCGCCATTGGAGGAGGTGTCGATCTCGACCTGGTACTTGGTGCCTTGGTGGCTAACAGTGACTGTTTGGAAAGTTAAACACCAGCGGATGCATTGTTGGAGCGATGGTGCTTACCAGGTATTGATGCCATCGTTTCCTTGTGATTCAGGTCGGCCTTGCTGCAAAGTTGAGGAATAGCTTTTGCAGTGTGTTGGGGGCAGAACCTCTTTGCTAAATGTGTTGCCGAAGGACAAGTTGGTTGAAGGCACCAGGTGGGTTGCGTCAACACCTACCAAGAATGGAACCTTGAGGTGGGCGAGCTTAAGGGAGGCAAGGTAGTACAAAGGACCACACGACAAGATAGCGGGGAAGCGGTGTACCTGCAGGGTCCGTTTCAGCTGCCGATTCGTTTATGTTAATATGCCCTTGCACCTGTCTCCTCTGTATGCGTTCGACGGTCTTCCAGCATCTTCGGGAGCAAGTACTCTTTGGAGGGTCTTTGAACTCCATGGCAAAGTATGCTTCTACTTCAATGAGAATATAATATGTGTAAATTACTCAAGTCTATCATGGAGCACAAGGCGTAACTAATGCAGTCCGTATTGCTCCTAGAAATTGAGCTTCCATTTCTGAATGCTTAAGTGTATATGCGGTATTATGCATGTAAAAGCCACAAGCGGGGGATCGCCACTACCTAACAAAGGAGCTTGATGATCACGTGAATCAGCCTTTGGCTGAATCAGCGAAGTGCGGTGACAGCTATGCGTAATGTGGAGCTAAGGTACGGCGATGCTACCAGCCCCACTACGAAACGTCAGGCTTCCGGCTGAGCCAACCTCACGAGCCCCGCGGTCAACATATAACTCCAACCTCTCCCATCACCAAAGGTTGGACGCGGCCACGTCTCGTCATCATGGTTAGTTGACGCTTGCAATTGGATGAGCATGACCTGTACTAACAGTTCTGCCATAGTCTCAATCCCTGCGACCCTACCTCCAGGCCGTCAGGAGCAGTCTGACGGCCGCCCTGACGCTCTCCAACTTCGCTTCCCAAACCGCCGAACGTCACAATGTCCCGGAGATCGAGGCTCAAACGTCTCCTGAAGTCCTTCTGACGCCTTTAACGATTGCTCGAAACGAAAACGAGCGAGTTCTGATCGAGCCGAGTATCAACTCTGTGCGGATATCCATCAAGATCAAGCAGGCAGACGAGATCGAGCATATCCTCGTCCACAAGTTCACTCGCTTCCTGACACAGAGAGCCGAGTCATTTTTCATACTGAGAAGGAAGCCCATTAAGGTACGAGGCACATTATGAAAGCGGCTAGCGGAGCTCCTCGGAGAGTCAATGCTACGTGGCTAGCAACATCCATTTGAAAAGATCGCACTGACATGATGTACTAGGGATACGATATTTCATTCCTGATTACGAATTTCCACACCGAGGAGATGCTGAAGCACAAGCTGGTCGACTTTATTATCCAATTCATGGAGGAGGTTGATAAGGAGATTTCGGAAATGAAGCTCTTCGTACGTTTCTTCAACCAATTCTTACACTATGGCAGTTTCTGACATTATACAGTTGAATGCGAGAGCCAGATTCGTTGCCGAATCTTTCCTGACTCCCGTAAGTCATTTTCAACGTTACAGCATTATCATGACACAACTGACAGTCTCCTTAGTTCGATTAAAATACCCTACATCACGCGTTGTACATGCCAGAAGGTCGAATTCAAACCTTGAGAGGCCAGCATCGTATCAATCAAACGAAAATCTCGGCCATGCTGCAGTCATGGACCGGAACTATGAGTTGGAGTTGGATGTTGGCTCGAGCGCTCCCGGAATGCCGGGATCCACAATGGTTCCAACCTTGATTTTGGTCCGCAAATCCGGGGCCGAGTGGGAATAGCGACATGGGACCTCTATTTTGATACACAATTACAATTATGACCACAACCCTCTCCGGACCAATCAATGCATTTATCAGTGCTGCGTGTTCTGATGTATTTCGTTTGGCTTGCTCATGAACACAATCGAGGAAGTCTGAATGTCCATGGGGGGTATTACGGGATGTGATCTCAAATGTTCGGAAACGACAACTACATAATTGGACTCAAAGCGGCCAAGCTAACCTCTTCTTGAAGCGACAAGACATTTTCCAATTGAACCTCATCTTTGAATAGTATCTTGCCGTCACGAAGGAGATGACTTCACACAGACTCATCAAAGTGTCATGTCGATGGCTTGCCCGACGTTAAGGCCCCAATGTAATTGAGGAGCTACAGGTTGCTATGTGCAGATGGAATTGGCCTTTCTCTTCCCCAGGAGGACGGTATGGCGCCCAATCCCTTTACTGGGTAACAATTGTGCGCCTTTGTTCAACCCAATCCTGCCACTGTTGTCGTCTATCCTCGTCGTCTTGTCCCGTCCTGCAACCACTGTCTATATATTCACCTCGAGCCCACAAGATGGGCTATGACGGAATACGCAATCACTGATCCAGCTGCTGCATTGATTTACTTCTAGTCCCCAAATCAGAAGCCTCTCTTTCCTTCACATCTCTTCCCTCTACTCCCACTCTTTTCCCCTTCACCACCCCACCTCAACCTTCTTCCCACTTCTCCTTCCCATCTCACACAATAAATCAGCAATTCCCTTTTGCGTCATCAAAACAATCAACGATCAGGTCTTAGGTACAATCCTGTACTCAAAGCATCAATTCCACAGCCTTCGGGGCCTACTGATCTTACTGGCCATCGTAGCCTACACAACTGAAAATATCCTCAGTGTTCGCCTCTGCCTCGTTCCGCTTGCTTGCTTCTCACGAGCCGGTTCAGCCGTTGGTAAGCTTTTTATCAATTTATTTTTCACCATAAACTTCTACGGTCTCTGTTTTAGGAAGCAGCAATCGGTTGGCATCAAGCTCCTTTCACCCTGCTTTCCCTGTTCATCGTCCCACCTTCCCCTCTCCTTCCTTCCTTCCTTTCCTCCAAGCTTTACTTGATGGTGAGCTTGTGCACTCTTTTTCCGCCCCCACCACTCCGTCATAATTTTATCCCTTTTGCCTTTCTACATCTTTCTTTCTCATACCTTTCCATCAGCGGGTTTTTGCGAGAGCATCCTCCGATCACTGTAGGGTGATTTCTACGTGCTTTCTTGGGCTAGCCTGCTGTTCCAGCAGCGAGAGTGAGTTGAGACCTTCACTACACATCCACCTTGTTCTATCATCCGACAAATCTTCATCGCACCTCTTGCTTAGCGATGAGAATCTTCCCTGCTTCTTCCGTCTGTTCCCTCGTTATCAATTGACCACAGAGAAGCGACGAAAGCTTCCTTGGACGAAACAGAATCACGCTACCTGAGCAATCTCTGCGAGGAGTTGGTGAAGGCGACCGCTGTGGAGAGTCACTCAACTGGCCCCCTCCATTTTTTGTTCAGACTACCAAATTCACCAAATTTCGTCTTTCCTGCGTGTGTCACCTTGGGTTCGTCACCTCGAGCTCTTCGCCTTGCGTGCTCCCGCTTGTTCTGGCATTTTCTGCTCCCGCCTCTTCACTCCCTTTGCTCTCGCATTGTCCTTGTCCCTCGAGGGGCACCCTCACCCCTTTTTCAAACTTACTCTTGCCCAGCATTGGTTTTCAAAATTCTTCACCTTGGCTGCTTAATCACTAACCTCATACTCCTAGAGCACTTACTGTCACCACACACATCCATCACATCTACTGCCACAAGCATAGCTTATCAACATCATTCTTGTTCTCCTTGTTCAAGAACCAGGATTACGCCTGAGTATTGCTCATCATGGTCTACTCTAAGGTATCTGGCATGAACCAGAAGATGGATCACCAGCAGATGCGGCAGCAATTGCGCAACCATGTCCGTCAGCATGGAATGAAGCCTAGCGACCTGCCGGAGTTTGTCATTGAGAATGGAGACTACGACAGTGAGCCTGGCGGCGCTCGCCTCGATGTTGACCCTTTCGGTCATAACCTGAACAATCACCAGGCTCAGAATTATATCTTGGCCAGCTCCAACCTGAACCCCTCGTCCTCGCCTTGGATGCCCAATACTTCTCCAGCTCAACAGACCATCAGCAAGGTAGATATTCCCAACATCTCGATACTCTCTTCTCAGCAACATTCCACCCTAACACCCACCTTCAGATTGATCAGCCCGAGATTGCTGAGCTTGACGGTACTCCTAAGTATCCCAGCACCAACGGCAAATTTCAGAGCCGTCCATCGATTCCCACTCAGACCTTCGGATCTGGCTCGAACGGTGCTGCCTCCTACTTTGGCGGACCAGTTGGAAACGGTTACCGCGTTGCTCTTCCCAAGATGACCAGCTCCCACTTCGACTCTAACGCCCCCGGCCAGGCAAACTATGGCCAGCTCACCGGCAGCGCCTCCATGGGAAATTTGGGTATTCAGACCCCTGTCCGCCAGAACGACGGTGGCTTTCTCTACAGCCAGGGCGGCATAGAAGCCACTGATCACACTGCTGATGTTGTCAGTCCCGGCAGCGACACCCCCAAGGCTGTTGGCAACAGTGGTCTCATGACGGAGCCGCGCAACTTCGCTCCGCGAACCATGAGCCACCTTGGAGCGCCTCCCAAGTTCAACTTGAACAAGGGAAGTAATGGTGTCAACACTCCTGCTTCGGACACGCAAGATCCCTTCGTGTCTTCCGCTTCGCAGAGTAGCGCTGCTCAGCCGCCGGTGTTTGGATCGCAGATCGACACCACCCACTTGCTCGCAACTGGCCAGCTTCCTTTCCCTGCCGCTACAGGCGATACTTTGCACTTTGACAGTCTTCCTCGCGATGACTCTGAGGCATCCGCCCCGAACAGCACTACCACTCAGGTCCACCAGCTCAACTCCGAAAATGGAGGACGTGCTATCGACGTCCAGAACATGCCTGCCCAGCAGTTGGGATCTTACCAGGCCCAGCTCCAGACTCTGCCTCTTGCTGGAAACAATGTGGCAATCGTTCCTTACCACGTCCCTTACCAGGTCCCTTACCAGTCATCTTACCACGGCGGCTACCAGCTCCAGAATGATGCTGCGAACTACGATGCCACGGTCCCCGACTACATCCGCGCTCAGAGATCGATGCAGCTGAACCGCCTCACCGCTGGTCCTACCGGCCGACCTAGCGCTAACGAGGCCATGCATCAAATGAACTTCCCGTTCGTTGAGCCTATCAACCGCGCAACCAACTTCCTGGTCCGTGGAGTCATCAAGATTGGAAACGTTTGTTCCCCTGGGGCCTTACTTGTCGTTATCATAGACACTAACACGTGACTAGATTCCTTTCGTTACCAACCGCTCCGAGATCATTGCAATCCTGGGTCGTAACTCTCGTATGCTCAATGACAGTGATGAGCCGGTCCACATCATTATGGAACGTGTCACTGGCAAAACCACTGACGCATACGTCGAGTTCCACACCCTTGAGGATGCTTCGAAGGCCGTTGAGAAGCATCATCAGAACCTCAACCGTGGCCGAGTCACTCGAATCGGCCAGCGTCCTGTTGAGATCGAGCTCTCCAGCCAGGCTGCCCTCATGAAGGATCTGTTCCCCTCCGCCAAGGGTGTGTTCTGGGCTGGTCTTAACCCTCACATCCTTCCCAACAATGACGAGGAGCCTTGGGACAACTTCAAGGGTTTCGTGTCCAATGAGGAGATGACGATGCTCGTGAAGCACGTCGAGGTCCCCCACCGTGTAAGTTTCTCCAGCTTGGGAGCTTATGAGCCAATGACTGATCTCATTTTGTAGTCTCCCTTTTCGAAGGAGTGCCCTCAACGTCCTTTCGAGTGCCTCATCAGCACCCTTACCAAGTTCCCTTGGCAGATGAAGTCGAACGTCACTGTTCAGCAGCGTCACGCCATCCATAAGGCTACCTGCGATCTTCTGCGCATTCTCGTGGGTGGTATTCGCGATAAGCGTGATGAGGTCAACCTTACTCATCGTCTGTGTAAGCGAGTCGTGTCCGCGGCGATGCGCTGCGAGGGCTTCTCGGTGACCCAGAAGGACGGCATTGCGTACATTGTCGACATGAGTGAGATGGAGCAGCGTTCCTATGGCCAGCCGCGGTTCGCGGAGAGTTGGCGTCACCTCTACGTGCTGGTCCCCAAGACCGGTATTCCCTTGGATGTCATCGAGGTAAGTCATGCTCGAATCAGCTCGTCCTTCAATTTGGTATGATGGGATGTGGAAATCAAGAGTTTGAGTTAACCAGTCGTCTTTCGCAGTGGTACATTGCCGTCATCCGCGAGGAGACCACTCGTTTCCTGGAGATGCAGTCGTTCCAGGAGAAGTGCCAGACGTGCACCATCGGCGACACCACCGACGGTTACCTTGGCTTCTTTTGGCGCGAGCTGAACCACCGTGTGGGACCTGAGTTCGACCGCATGACTCTTGCGCAGCTTGCAATGCACGAGTACCAGACGATCGAGACGATTATCCGTCGCGCACTGGCTCCTGCCATCGGCCACTAATGTCGATTACAACAAACCTGGAAACAACACAAAGCAGACTAGGTGCTGAGATGGCTTTGCCTAATGAAGATTGCACACTGCTTCGAATTCTCCCTTGGCTCTGCTTATCTGCAAATCTGCTTTTGTGGCACTTAGCTTGGGGGTGGGCACTTCTCGTGATTTTGCACCGTAAGGTTGGTTGTTTCTTGAGCTCTATCTTTGGGGGTTGAAGGAGTCAAGGACTGGATTGAGGACTCGGAATCAGGATGGAATGAGTTGATTTGTCGCATGCTGGCATCTGGAAACGTGGAGGTTTCTGGGTTTCTTTCACAGGTGGGGGATGGGCTTCTGAGATTACCTTAATGAGATAGGGGTTCGAGTGGTTAGTTCTCTATACCCGATCAATAAGACCTCTAGAGCAGTTCTCTACATCTTCTGGTACCGACCGTTGCCCCCTGATTTCTTTGTTCTGGACGGGTTGAAACATTTCCGACAACGGTCGTTGGCAGCGCATGTCAGGTAGGCTGGCGCAGCTTTTGCGTGGCGTAAAGCCGGCGTTGAAGGGCTGACCGGGTGATGAGTGGGTTCGATTCCTAACGGCGTCACAAAAAGTAGGCCGTTTGACTAAAACACCAGTTGACGCCGATAGGGATCGAACCCAACTTACCTACCGTACTCAAGTTACCTCCGCTTTTCTAATGGAAACATCCCATCATGCGGTTGAGGTTGAAGTTGGCGAGTAGAATGCCTTAGTCAGCTGACACTAGACGCGGGACTCTCAGCTGGTGGACCAGTCAGAATGCCGCGAAGGAGTGGAGAAGGAGTACTAAAAGCTGCAGGTACCGCCTCGACCTGGAGCGGCATCGCCCGGTATAGTGCGGCAGCTGGTCCATTGGTCCTGCAAGCGGCAGGCGCAACCTGCCCTAGGAGTCGGTAGGACGACCCTCAGTGGGCATCTGGCAGCGGGCTTGCTGGGCGCTCTGCCGACCCGCTGCAATGGTCTCCCTGTTGTTGGCGGGAAGCACCTACCTCTGGCACGGGCCAACGGGGCGGGGCCCTTCCCCCTCGCCCTCCCCCTTCCTCGACTTCTTTTCTTAGATAGTACCTAATTAAGGAGTAAAGTATGAAAGGGTCGCTTGGGAGATCGCCGGGCTCGGAGGTGTAGGTATTCGTACTCTCTGGCACGACGCTTGTACTCACCTGGAAGTCGAGTCAATAGTCTGTGGCAGGAACAAGAAGGAAAAAGCCCCTGAAACATTTGATGGCGTGGATGGACGACTTGCTAGCGGCATTCGGCGGCGACTGCTGATTATGGCGGGGCCCATTGGCACTGCACATCCGGAAGTTGGAAGATCGGGGGCTGGGACTTCGAAGGGCTTGATGAGATTTCTGTTCTGCTGGAGAGTTGATCACTGGTGCTGCCTTAACTCACCATTTTGTGGTCCAGGTATTGCGCTCCCTCTGCCGTATACATCATACTGAACCACCACACACTGTGAGATTACATCGACCATCGACCGCTGATTAATCGAGTGACTCGAATAACTTGCGGTAAGGCTCAGTAGGGATGAAGGCTTATCAAGGCAATGGTCCTTGCTTGATTTTCCAATCCGACGAAGAAAATCGGTAACAAATAACAAAATCAACAAGTGGCCTTAATTTATGAAGCATGTTGGACGAGACAAGGAAAAAAGTAGGAAACAACTAATAGGAACAAGGAAGTCCTGGACAAGGAGTTACATGTCAGGACTGTGACTCCATCGAAGCTCTGTCGAAACAGAAGGCGCAAATCATCTGGAAAAAGAGGGTCCATCTCCACTCCACTCTCCCGTCTGCACAGGCCAGGATGAAGCCCAAGGCAGCCCAGCTGAGATTGCTTTTTAGAATTGGATGCGAGATGGATATGGTAGGTCGTGCAGTGGCAGCAGCAGCAGCAGCATCAATAATATTACGGACTGGATGATTTCATACCTCAAGTTTCCCCGAAAGTAATGCACGGAGGGGAGCACTCGAGACGGGAGCAAGGCAACGACCTGGAATCATGACAGGTACTTTACCTTACTTTGAGGTACCTTGGGTGCTTGGCTAAGGTACTTATGAGAGTATGGATAGCCTAATGATGAGAATAAGGGTGAAGAAAGTAAGGTAGGAAGGTAGGTACCTACCTCCCTTGGGATAGGACCCTTGGACTGGGTGACTAGGTTCAGTTTTGGGTTCCATTGCTCTTTCCCGTTGCTGTTGCTGCCACAACTCCTCGTTGCCGCTCTTGTGGTCTGTTTGTTGCTGCCACTTTCCGTCTCCCATCAGATCCAAATACTTTAGTACACCAGCGTACCTCGTACCTTTGGAAATTCCGACCTTTTCAACTCCCATCCTCTCTCACTCATTGTATCTTACTGGCCTGCCTGCCTCCTCGCCCAACACGCTCACTACTTTGAAAAGAATAATAATAAGTCACCCCAATAGACCAGGACAGATACCACACACGCACACACTCGCACGCTACCTTACACACACTCACACACACCTGAGGCAACTGGACGCGACTTTGCAGCAAGAGGGGCTGGGGCACAAAAACCAGCCTGAACTTTTTTTTTCTTATCATCTTATTTTTCCGAACGAAAAGACGCAGAAGCTGTCACTCAGAAATTCCAACCTCAGTTTCCCGCACTCATTCCTTGAGACACACACACACACACACACACACACTCTCTCTCTCTCTCACTCACCAAGACTCATCTCACTCACGGATTTTTCTGATTCCATCATGTCAGCTCAGACCACCGACACGCCCGTCGCGGCACCTGCGCCAGCTGTTGCTGCTGAGTCTCAGCCCACCGCCGCCGCACTTGCCGCTGAGCCGACTTCGGCTGACGCTCCCGCGGCCGCCGCAATTGCTGCCCCTGAGGCCCAGCAGGAGCAGAAGACTGAGCAGCCCGCCCCTGCTGCTCAGAAGCCAGAGGAGAAAGCCGATGAGAAGGCTGATGAGAAGGCCCAGACTCCCCTGTCTTCGCTCTTTGAGAAGCTGCCCACAATCTTGGGCGAGGCCAAGCACAACGAGATGTGGAGTGTGCAGCTCTCCGACGACACCCACGTTCCCACCACCGTTGTCCTGCAGAAGTTCCTCCGCGCCAACGACGACGATGTCTCCAAGGCTGCTGACCAGCTTCAGAAGGCTCTGATCTGGCGCCGTGACACCAACCCCCGCAAGCTTCTTGATGAGGTCTCGTTCGATGGAAAGAAATTTGGCGATCTCGGCTATATCACCACCCACAAGGACGCCCAGGGTAAGGAGATGGTTATCACCTGGAATATCTACGGAGCCGTCAAGGATAAGAAGGCCACCTTTGGCAACGTCGACGAGTGAGTAACAACCCAAGAGGATGGGGAATCTCGGCCTCGCATAAATGGCATCCGACTTACACATCTGAATAGGTTCATCAAGTGGCGCGCTGCCCTTATGGAGCTCAGCGTCCGAAAGCTGAACCTTGACAAGGTCCAGACCCCCATCCCCGATGGCGGCGAGGACCCCTACCAGATGATCCAGGTCCACGACTACCTCAACGTCAGCTTCCTCCGCATGGATCCCGCCGTTAAGGCCGCCTCCTCGGAGACGATCAGAGTCTTCGCCATGGCCTACCCGGAGCTCCTCGTTCACAAGTACTTCGTCAACATCCCCGCTCTCATGGGCTGGGTCTTCAAGGCGATGAAGGTCTTCCTCGCCCCCAAGACCGTCGCCAAGTTCCACCCGCTCGGCTATGGTAGCGAGTTGGGCGGAGAGCTCCCGGCCTACAAGGACTCGCTCCCCAAGGAGTACGGCGGAAACGGCGAGAGCATCGAGACCACTGGCCAGACCGTCAAGCTCACGGGGGCTGCGGCTCCTGTCGAGAAGCCCGCGGCTGATGTCGCGGCTGATGCTACCCCTGTCGCCGCCGCGCCTGCGGTGACTGAGACCCAGCCTGCCGCTGAGACTCCCACGGCTGCTGCCACCGAGACCAAGACCGCTGAGACTGCCAACCCCGCGGCTGTTGTCGGCGAGCCCGTCGTCGTTTCTGAGCCCGAGAAGGCTGCCCCTGCGGCCGCTGAAACTGAGAAGACCGAGGTTCCGTCCGTCGCCGACTTGAGCATCAATGACAAGATCGAGGCCAAGGAGGAGGCCAAGCCCACTGCCGCATAAAGTTTGACTTCACAGCTTGCGAGGTTTGTTTTTCTACTCAAAGCTTTTCTATTTGTCCCTTGACTTTGACACTGTGGGGGTGGACTTGGGTGACTTTCGCGGAAACATGGAGAGGGAATGAAGTTGTCGCAGAGAACTGAGTCCATCGGTTTTCCAAACATTCGGGATTCAGTTCGCCCGTTCTTGAAAGACAGAGTGAAAGAGAGGGGTGTGGCGGGATTTGGACTTGTTTGCCCACTGTGTTTTCTCCTTGCGTTCATGCCATAATACCCTTCTTGTGTGTGTTTGTGGCGTTGTTAATTCGAATCCAAATTGTCGATCGAAGTCAGAGAGGAAAGAACGATCAGAACAGAGAGACTGGCAAGAAAGTATGGGAAAGTCTCCTTTTTAATACCTAGGTTAGGAAGAAAATAAAAACAAATTTGACAATTCAAAACCGCTGGAAGCTTTGTGAGTCTCTCATAATGTGTGAATGTCGGCGACTGACTCGATGAGATGAGCGCCCTATCCAGAGTGAAACCACATAGCCTTTCCCCGGTTTCTTCTTGCTCTTCTTCGACCATATTTGGCGGTCTGCCGGCCGAGTGTGCATGAACACCCTCGAAGGGAGAAGCAGAGGTGCGATGCGTGGTGACTGCGCTGCCGGTTGGTTTGCGCACCCACCCACCCACCTGCCTTGTTCGACCCGCATCCCGGGGTAAGCAGCACCAGCCCACTCATATATTTCCGCGATCGAGCATCACGAAGAACTACGGTCCCTCCGCGTCGTTGTGCGCTGTCGTTGTTAATGCCACGATTTTGAGACATTGCGCAGTCCAATGGGATTTTCATCTTTCTCCAGGACAGTGGATGCTGAGTTGCACCCAGTTCATCACCGCAACGATTGCTTTCATTTCGATCGAGATAACTGAAAGCTGGACAACTCGCCCAATGCTGCTCTCTGATGCATCGGGAAGGTCGTGATCGAGCTCAAAAAGTTCACCATGATTCAGAATATGATTTTACAACTGCTCATGTCTGTATATTGTTAACGTTGTTATACATTTATGTGTTTCAACATTTGGCGCATTTGCGGTGAGGTAATGGCCACAACTCGCTATCCTGAAGGAAATGTCAGAGGCTTTAATGAGGAGAAGCATGATGAATGCTTCTTTTGCCAGTGGTTATCACAGATGGCCGGCTGCGATGAACAGCTGCATAGTCACGCAAAATAATATCTCTAATTCTGTCACTGTAGACCGCTCGCATGTGCAATAGTGTCCTCTCTGGCCAGGTTCGTTTTATGGTTTAGCATCGTCGTCGCAGGCATAGTTATCTCCATGCATGTTTCTAGTAGGCTGTCGATGAGCGCAACACCGCCAGGCTGAGTCTCACATCGGAGCGAAGCAAGTAAGCCACTTTCCCGACAGACCAGTATACCATGCCTGGGTCTCATCTTTCTCGCTGTCAGTGAGCGATATCAATTCAGATGTCGTTTTCTCGTGGACCAAGCGCGGATATTTCGAGGCTCATCAGCGCCTCGACGTTGGAATGACGGAAGAACTTACCTTCTTTGAAGAAACGGCAACCGAGGAGTATGCGATCACTCGATATTCCTCTCCTTGGTCGTCTGGATAGCTCTCGATTCGATTTGGGCAATGATCACAGACAGATCAGTCCCAGGTGCGACATGATTCGGGAATCCCATCGTACCTACCTCACCATAAGAGCTTGCCACTCATATTCCAGGGTGAACTTCAACCGAATGCCAGGCAAACTCATAGCCTCATCCTTGAAACTTGCCATGAATGGAAACCGCAACCCAGAAGGATATTTTGTCAGTAAGTTAGATGACACCTCCCTGGATAACTAGAGCCGGAGATGGTACTGGGAGCTGTTTGCTTGCGGATCTCAACCATGTCGAATCCACACGGATTACCCAACATGGCGAGTGGTCGAGACGAAGCAAAATGATGCAGGTAAGGAGTGGTGTTGCTGCTCATCATGCCTGTATCGGGGCGAGGCTCAGCGCAGCAGTACGGCGGTGGCGCCGGCGGTTGAGGCAAAAAGCAGGAGGTGTTCCGAGAAGATACAAGCAACGCAACCAGATGACACTTGGACCTTAGATTTTCAACGACACAAGGGTCTTCAGGGACCTGAAGTCTGTAAAAGCATAAATCGATAGACTGGTCGCGAGAGGCCGTAGGATTGCGATGAAGCTGATTTTGGTCTTTCGGCTTATCCGACCATGTAGTTGGCTAGGGCGGAAGTCAGCAGGATAAAGGATCCAATGTTCAAGGAGTATGTACAAGTGGAGGAGAGGCAAAAGACGAGAGAGAAAAGGACGGGATAGATGGAGGAGAAGAGAGGACACACACAGTCCCGCGTACGCATACGCAACACAACACGGACCAGGGTTCTGTTTACCTTTGGAGGTTCCCAGCCGAAAACGAAGACCCGAAGAGAGGCCAGGCCACATTCAACCACGTCCAAGGTCCGAATCTCCATGTTCTCTCTCTCTTTCTCATCCCCCCTCGTCGAACTCAACTCTCTCCCTCATTCCCTCGGTGTGTGTGTGTATGTGCACGTGTCCCTGACGCACTCTCCGATATTCCCATTTACAAACCCACGCAAGTCCCAGCGCCAGGCGAGACCGGCCAAAGTCAGACAAGGACACTTAACCTAAGCAAAAGTGAAGAGCGCGGCGTACGCTGGCCCAAAACACCAGGCAAGCCTTCCCGCCCTGGTTCTTTCACAAGGGGGGGGTACAAAGGTCAGCAAGGCCCGTTCCTCACCTCAGCATTCTCATTTACCCAGAAGCACCTCTCTTGCGTCTGGCTCCCATCTTTTCCGTCTCTATCTTCTTCTCTCTTGTCTCCTCTTGCGTGCTTAGACGCTCAACCGCGTCTTTTCCGACTCCTCGCCTGGAACATCCGGCTCGAGTGCTTTTTCTTTCCTGGGTTGACTCTTGCAGTTCAGTCCTATTGCCTTCTGTCTCCGCAAACGGGTGCAGAGGAGAGCAGTCAAAGCCGAAACCTAACGGACCTACTCAAGGTAGGTGGGCAAGGCAAGGCAAGTCAAGCAAAAGTCAGCAGCCAGACCGATAGAGCAAGCAGCAAATCCATCAATCAACGACCACGGTCAAACACCTCGATCCATCCTTCAAATCCATCAAATTCAGTCGCGTCCCCACTCCCCGCGTTCTGTCCTCAACACGACACTGGGTAACCTGACGGAACGGAACCTCCCTCATAGCCATCTTTCCCAACTCATCCCATCCCGCCATCCGCACCAGTCCCTCTTCTTGCCTACCTACCCAAGGCACCCTACCTTAGACTCCGTGTCTCTGTCTCATCCCTCCATCTTACCCTAACTCAGCTCACCTCACTTCACTCCACTAAACCTCTCACTCTCGGGCTTATCACGACTCAACCTTTAACGCTACCAGTTATCACGCGCACTAGGTATTACCAGAAATTGAGCTGCGCTTGTTCACAGCAACACCAAAATCACGGATTTTTCAGCAAACCACAGTCGGCCAGTTGTCCATTGCGGATTTCGAACCCAGGGTCAATATTTTTGACTTTACAATTTTCCTTGGTTTCCCTTGTTTCCTCCTCATCTTCCCCCTTTTCAAACTCCCTCGGCCTGCTACTAAGCTGGGGCGCTTTGGTTTGCTGCAGCACAGAGTACCTCGTCTGCCAAATACACTCGGAGACTACCTTTACCTTATTGCCACTCAATGCCCGGCCGGTAAGGTGAGCTAAGAGGCAGCGAACGAGCCAATTCTGCGTGCCTGGGGGACGGTTTCCGTGCACACCCCGGTCTAATCCCTCTCCTGGCCTTTTTCGTGTCTGGAACTTCTCTGGACCTCCCACGCCCCCCAACTTTCTTTCCACCTCGCAACACACGCACACTCTATTTTGGATCGCGTCGCATCTCGCCTCTGCCGACCTCCAAACACGAAATAAACGACGCAAAAGCTCAAAATCGCGTCGAGACTGGGTATATTCGCCCAATATGTCTCTCCTAACTAGCGAAAGCGGCTTGCTGTCCGCTCTCGCTACTGATTCCTCCTCCAACATCGCGTCTTCGAGCTCCACGCCTCCCACCAGTATATCCGACGTTGCCAGCCAGGCCTCCGACGGCCCCAAACTAGACGACATCCCCGTCATCCTCGAAACCGAAACCCTCATCGAGACCGAAATCGAGGCTCAGATCGAAATCCCCGCGGCCACAATTCCAGCTGCCGATCCTGCACCCGAAACACCCTCGGAACCCCAGTCCGCAGCGCGCCCACGTCGGTCTTGCTCCGGAAAAGGCGTATACAATCTCTCAAAACTCAGCGGCACGGCGAACCGCGGTCACCGCCGCGCCAAAGGCGACATCGTCGCCGCTGACCGACGCAGGACCATTTCTAGCGACACACTTGTCGATGGCGAAGCCAATGTGGATGAAGTGGCGCGTGTCGCTGGCAATCTTGTCCGTGACGGCATTGACGCGTTGAACCTCCAATGGTCTGTCGGAGCTCTCAAGACACCACGTGTGAAGAAGATCACTGCGGAAAAGGCAAAGACGTCGCGAATTACCCGCCATACGGCGCGTCTTATCGGCACCCCTGTCGAAACTCTTGCGACCAAGGTCTCCAACCTCGGCAAACGGAGTCGCAAAACCTTTGAGAAGAACATGTCTAAAATCCCCCGCGAATTGCGCCGCCTTCAGGACACCAAAGAATTCTCCGGTATCGACGAGAAGCCCGTCATCAGAACGGTCTGGTCCAACGGAAAGCTCGTTATCTTGGACGAAAATGGCAACATTCCCGCACCCCCGGCCAAGAGGGCCAAGTCGGAGCCGCTCGAGACCAAGAAGGAAGAGGCAGAAGAGAAAACCGAGAAGGCCGACGAAGCCCAATTTAAGAAAACTAAGCGGTACAAGAAATATCTCGATCGCGGACTGTATGCTGGTCAATCGACTTTGTCTGATCTGACCAAGGGCTTGTCGATAGCCGAGCAAAGGAAGCTTGCGCAAACTCAAGAGCTCAAGGACTATGGCCGCCCCAACAAGGCTCTTCCATTGCCCATGTTTAATGGACTGCGCCTGCTGCTCAGCGGTCGCGATTTTAAGCTCCCCTTTGACGTCTGCAACCCTCTGCCGCCTGGCCAGCCGAAGCCCGACGATTTCCGCAAGATGACAAAGAGTTAGATTCCCATCGTTGCTCGTTGCTTCCCCTCGCTGACCTTGTTACAGATCGATTTGTTGGTGATTCTCTGAGTCTATGGAAGAAGACACCGCACTTCATCGACCAATCCAAGTGCGTCTGCAAACCTGAAGATGGATGCAGTGAGGACTGCCAGAACCGAATCATGCTGTACGAGTGCGACGACAAGAACTGCAACGTCGGCAGGGAATATTGTACAAACCGCGCCTTTGCCGACCTTCAAGAGAGAAAAGCAGGTGGCGGCAAGTATCGCGTCGGTGTCGAGGTCATCAAGACGTCTGACCGTGGCTATGGCATCCGCGCGAACAGATGCTTCGAGCCGAACCAGATTGTCATGGAGTACACCGGCGAGATCATCACCGACGAGGAATGCAACAATCGCATGGAAACCAAGTATAAGGATAATAAGGTGTGTGAAGACCTCGCCAACTGTACCGCCCAGCAAAGCTAACGCGCGTCGCCAGTGTTACTATCTCATGAGCTTTGACCAGAACATGATTATTGACGCCACGACTGGTAGCATCGCTCGTTTCGTCAACCACTCGTGTGCTCCCAACTGCCGCATGATCAAGTGGATTGTGTCTGGCCAACCTAGAATGGCATTATTCGCGGGGGACAAGCCCATCATGACGGGCGAGGAACTCACCTATGACTACAACTTCAGTCCGTTCAGCGACGAGAACGTTCAGAAATGTCTATGTGGCGCGGCGAACTGTCGAGGGATCTTAGGGCCTAAGCCTCAGGAAGTCAAACAGCCCAAGCCTCCCAAGTCGACTATCAAGGCCGTCGTCAAGAGCGCCGTCAAGGCGAGCAAGAGGAAACTCGAGACGATGATCGGCGACGAGGAAGATGGCGGCTCCGCTAAGAAGCGCAAGATCAAGGCCACGAAAGGCGTGAGACGATCGCTATCTTCGAGCGGCCTGTTGACCAAGGCTGCGTCCAAGGGCGCGGCCACGGTGAAGAGGCGTGTCTCGGCCATGGCAATTCTCGGCAGCACCAGCAAGACGAGCACCCCGGCAAAGACGGCCAAGGCCGCAAAGTCGACCCTGGCGAAGATGACCGTCAAAAAGGCAACTCCGAAGAAGTACACGGCTCCCAACCCCGCACGCAAAGCTACCGCAGTCCGTAAGTCGGGCTCCGGGAAGATGCTCAAGACGTATGGAAAGGTTTCGCCTAAGAAGCTGAGCAGCCGTGCGCCAAGCATGACGATTGTGGCCGCGGGAGCGGAGAACGAAGAGGAACTCACACCGGAGAAGAGCAAAGCCCCGAAGCTTCACCGAAGTCTTAGCAAGGCTTCTCGGAACGCGCTGGAAGAGCTGTCACGTGGTTCCACCATCCGTCTTGTGAGTCCCGACCTTGTGAGCCCGGGAGCCACGATCACGGCCCGGCAAGATTAGGGGTCGGAGGAGAGTTCTGGACCATTACTGCATGAGGCATTGATCGTGCCTAATTCATATTGAATCTTGACGTCGACAAACGAGGGCGGTCCGGGTGAGTTTGGCGTTGGCAGGGTGTTTTCGGTCATTCAACAGGCGAAACGGAGGCTAGGCATTGTACATTACGGGAATCGAGGGAAGGAAGACATCGTACCGGGGAGAGACGAACGAAGAAGTGACAAGGGGGGGAGGCAATGAGAGACGAGACGAGACGTCAAAGCTGTCTTGGACGGACGTCAATTCTCTCCTGGAAAGTTGGGCATTCTCTTCTGCAAAAATCTGGCTGCATACGTTTATCGGAACTGGGGGACTTATTGCCAGTTGCAGGGAGGGTCTAATCATTTTTTTCGCTTTTTTCTTTCACTTCTTCTTTTTCGAAACGACGGTCGGCAGCAGCAGCTCGAGGCATATTTTAGTTCAAGTGGCATGTTCCAAAGTTTCCGATAGTGGCAGGGTCTGTCTTGCCATCGCTCCGAATACAAGAAAGACGCATGTTTAATGATGACGTGCGGTGTTTCTGTTAAGGACAACCACAGGTTTCCTTCCCTCCAGTCATTTTGTGCCTAGCGTGAGGTTGATTACGTTCACCGACCTTTAGTTCGTCAGGCGGCACGCGCTGGATGAGGTCAGAGGGAGGTGACGGACGAGAGGCGAGCGAGCAGTCCATCCAGGTTTGAACTCCAAGTGCGGTGCGGTGAGGCGGTGGTTTGGGCGCTGTTGAGGATGCCCTGGTGGCCAATGGGCAGACCGAGTTGGCTCGAAGGCCTCTCCAATCATGCATGGACCTTTTACACACCCAGTGTCCACCGCCCTCCGCTCTTCCTTCGCCTCAGGCCCTATCCGTGTGTCTGTCCATGTGCCTACGCCATTGACAAAGAATCATGGCTTTTCTTGCAGAGATTCTAGAAGCCTGCCAAGGGTGAATGAAGATGCAAGCTCGGGCGTATGGCGTGGCGTAAGGCGCAGAAACCCGTTTGATGCGGTTGCGGTAACGCGGGTTGCGGTTGGTGCTCCAATTTCGCGACGAGGTGTTCCAGGATACAGTTTCCTACTTTTCTTTCTTTTTTCACGTCGTTAGTCTCTTCTCTTCAGCTGGGGGATGATGAACACAGCCCTAGGGGAGCCTAGCAAAGTGGAAGATTAGTCGAGGGAGTTTTTTTTTTTTTTTTTTTCCCTTTCCTTTTTTTTTGTGCCTTGTCGGGCAGCCAGCCAGCGCCTCCTGGATGCGAAACCTGTCTCTCTTGGTTTGTGTTTCTCTTGTTCTCTAGAAAGTCAAGCTGGCCAAGGTTACACTATTGGCAGGCAGGCGTGGCAGGGCTGTCGCTCATTGCGCGACAAAAGCGTGGCGGAAAACCCTACGGATCTCACTCCGACGGCAACGGGGCCTGAACACTTAACTGTGGCTGGTGTACATAGTAAAGGTGAGAGAGGCAGCTGGGGGGCCCCCTAAAGGTATGACGGGAGAGACTGAGACTGAGACTTTAGGACGTGTATCGGGCGAGGTGGATTTCGTCCATCAAGCCTCATGGGGTGGGCCCCGGGAGGATACCTGAATGCCGGTGAGGGATGCTGATGACTGACTTTAACCGTTCTTTGCGAACTTCTTCCCACCCCACCTAAACAGCATAGGTACTACGGATACGCACGCTCCCCATACCATCCCTAGCTGTTGGCCACTGATTCGCCGTAAAATTGCAAGAGCCTCAACTCTTCAAATTGAGGGGTGTAACGCGTGCTGCCATTATTATCCAATGAAACCAAACATGTAGGTATAGGCCTCGCCGGTCTTACGGATAGGAACCTACCTAATGCACAGCCACCTTGAGTCCCGTGAGCTATGAATGCGAAGTACGTAACTTTTTGAGCCGCAACTAACGTCCCCTCCTCACGTCTGTCTCAATCGCCTACCCACCTTAGGCAGACTTCGTCTTTTTCCACAACGGGGAGCCCACGCTACGTTTGGCGGGATCGACTTCGCGCCTGCGTAATTTCGAATGTGCGCAGCGGCGCGAAGAGTACCTTTTAGTACCCGCTAACAACCTAAGGCAACAGCTCACCGGTGACCGAGGAGCGAGGTCGCTCTATCCAAGTGGAGCCGCCATCATCCCGTCGAGCTTCACCTCCCGTCTCCCGCCCCCGGCCAAAAACATACCGCAACTCAGATCACGAAAGACGAGGCGACCCGCGCTAGATGGCACTAGCCACTACCGTTGCTCACTTTTCTGTCTTCCTCACTGGACGACATGGTTTACACTTCCAAGTTGTCACAAAAGCTAAAAGAAAAAATCTGATCTATTCCCTACGCCTGAGTGCTGGCCCTGAGGCTAAGTCTATCTATCCTATCCTACACTGTCCCGATGCCGGAGGGGAAGGGGGTGTTTCTTGTGTGCTTCGTTTACGTTGCTGGGTATTGACTGGTGTTCATGATCCGTGGCTGAGCCCGCCGGCGGCTGCCTTCGTCCCTCTCCTTCCACTTTTGTTCATCCTTGTGGCTGTCCCCCCGTTCCCTTCTGTCGTTTGGATGCTGTTGGCAGTCGAGGCCCAGGACGCCAGTGCGACTGGTGATGGCGGCAAAGTTGGAAGGACGAGATGTCCCGGGCGCCACCTATGGGTGCGACCCTCCATGTCAGGCAGGCCATAACATGGCGGGTGCTATCAAGGAATGCGTTCGTCATCTACGATATCACCGGTTAGTCTCGAGCAACCTCTTGGAGCTAAACTTTTCATGTTGGGACTCACTCATCGACCAGCCCGGGTTGTGATCTGCTTGATCGTGCAGCTGTGGCATCTCTGATGGTAACAGTATGCACAGTATGCGTCAATTGTGTAGTTGAGCGGTCCCTTGGCGCAGTTGTGCTGAAGGAGCTGGTTAGCCAAGGGCATCGGAGGAATGGAAGATGTGTTGCTGGACTCACGCAGTACCACACGTTGGTCCTGACGGTAGTGGGCTGGGGCATGATGGGCTTGGGAAAGCTAAGAAAGTTTTCAACCTTTCTCGAAGTTGTCTGCTGCGATGTGTGGAAGAGGGCGTTGATGCTGATGCCGGTGCGGCTGCGGTTGCGTCTGACCTGATGAGGTTCTTCTATTCTCTTCAAAGGTAAAGGAATCGGGTTGATTTTATAATTCTTTCATGTGGAATTGGAACGCCCAACGGCGAGCAGATGCGCGAGTGCGCAGTGTTTCGTTCATGGTTAGCAAACTCGGTGAAGGTCAAGCATGTCTTTGGTTTGTACGCTTCCTCGTAGAAAGTTTCTATGGAGCTGGCTTGGGGCTGTGATCTTTCGGCATCGCCTCCCCCGTCTGCTCGGTGACAATTTCACTTCACCTTCCACTCCACTCTACTCCAATCATCTCTCAAGCCGGCCTCATTACTGGAGGGGGAAAACGCCCATCTTGTTTTCCCTTCGGTCAAGTTGCTAGGTGCGCGCTGCCTTTTTCCATTACACTACATTACACTACATTACACTCTACTGCGCCACCGAGTCTGGTCTCGTCGGTATGGGAACTTGACCGAACTTCGGTTGTCTACGAATGCTACCCACTCGAGCTACGCAGACTCGAACAACCCTGTCTAACAGACTTGGGACTATCATTCCTGATGGGTCCCTCGGCGCCTCGTTTTGGGATGTTATCGAGCGCCCATGACTGGTTATGGAGAACACACAACCAGGTGAAATCGGCACGTCATACTCGCAGCATCGCCCGGTCAAGCGCAGAGTGCTGCGCAAGGAATGTTTTAGTTTATGACGTCAAATTTCTACACGAGGTGGCGGCTGGTCTGGCACATCACCGCAAGCCACGCTACAATCGCAAAGATTTCGTCTTCAAAAGTCCGTTTACAAATTCATTGCTGGGCCGGTCACAGCTTCAGCTGTGATCGTTCTAATTCTAACTGTCTCGAGGATATCACATTGTTCCCCCATTCTAGCCTCTCGCTCTGTGTCTTCTGCAGTTGGGGGATACCGATGCAGGCTTTCTTATCCAAACCCAATCACACCCGCTCAGTGATCGGCGCGCTGGGTGACCACGGAGGTCTGGCAAGTGTGGCAGCGCCGGTGTCCACAGTTGTAGTTGGTGCAGTGTGTGTCAGTTTGAGTGTTCAATGGTCCATTGTGACAGAAGTCCTAGAAGCAAAGCATGTTAGTCGGAGGATGCTATGGAAACCTAAGACGAGCTGGGATGGGCCGTCACTGACACAGTACCAGACCTCGAAAGAAACATATTGCTTCTTGCCGCCAGAACTGCCACCAGAACTGCCACCGTGGGACTTTCCATGAGAGCTCCCGTGGCCCTTGGAGCTCGAGCTCTTGTGGTGGGCCATTGCTTGTATTGATGTGTATTGTGTAGTCGATACAGGTGGGTTAAAGTCTGTAGCGGGATAAGAGTGTTGCGTGCGCTGTTCTCTCAAGTGAGTAACTGTACTGGCCGTTTCTGATGTCGAGTTCTGGCTTCTCCTTTCTCTCAAGTGAGAGCAGGCCAGCTGCTTTTTAAATTATTGAATTCATCCTCCGTCTCTGCGACTTTTACAATCTCTTGCGCAGCTGCGCAGTTTCCTCTTGAAATCCCTTGGTCTGGAGTCCTAGTCGCAAGCGAGCAAGTGCTCAATTTCGATGATTCTTGTGGGGCTTGGCCGTGCATCGCCACTTTCTCCGGTAACAATTACATGTTTTTCCTCTTCTTCAATACCAATCGTTAAGAGAGGAGCTTCACCACTAGAGCGCCTGACGGTTCCCTCACAAGTTTCTCATTTTCTCGGTGTTTAATTTGCGTTTGCCAACACCGAGTCCTCGCAAGACATTTGGCCTCAAGTTTCATGAAAGAAAATAAGCAGTATGCAGTTGGTACTGCTGGTCTTATGGCACTTAGTAACGGGGCGTACGGGACGGGCTCGGCCGCCCGTGGCGTTGCTGCCGCCTCTTTCGCCCTTCCCGAGCTCCCGGTCACCGGACAATTTTCATCCCTGGAGTGGTTGTAGCATAAGTATGTTGTGCATGATGGTCTGCAAGCGGACCGCACCACAACAACTCCCGAGGCCGCGGGAGGGGAGGCCGTGCAAGCGCGAGGCATGCGGTCGCCACGAGGCACCTGGCGCTGAGCGAACGTGGCAGCTTATCCCCATGGAGGGACTTTTTGCCTATTGATGAGAGCCTAACTCAGATCGCACCCCATTCCATCGTCAGCCGTGCGCGCACCTCACACGAGGCAGGCCGCTGCCGAGGCCACGGCCGCATCTGCCCACCACCTTATTCCGCTTTCCATCCCCCCCTCTATCTTCCCATAAAGCCGGTAGCCCCGGAGTTGTGTGAACCAATGATTGGTACGGGGCTTTCATGGGTCTTCCTGGCCGCATGCAGGTCATTCATGTGATTAAAGTGCAATACTATGAGGTTGATATGACGACCTGCCTCGACAAGACCTCATCTCCTTCATCGACCGAAGACGAATCATGTCGTTAGGGTCTTGAGCTTTCCGGACATTGGCTGATTTATAAGAGTGCCTTGAGGTTGACCTTGAGGGTTGTGGTGGCTCATCGGATGCTGGGATTGGTATTTGCTAGGAAGCCATGAGGCATGCATACATCCCAATGACCGAGGGAGACGAAAGCATTTGGTATTGTACTTCCATTGGCTCAGTGAATAGACCGGTGGCAATCATTCTTTCTCCCCAGGAAGCCTTGAGTGGCTTTCCAGTCTCTAGGACAAATCAGGTCAGTTTGTAACTGTAGCACTTGGGGTGTGCAGTAGACTAGATGATATATAATTCCAGCAATCAAAATGGCTTGTCTGTTGTAGGCAACTCATGTGGGATTTGAAAGTTTTATGCGCAGCTCCAGAAGAGACTGGCTTTTAGTGAAGAGCAACATTGCTCAATGGTCAGAATGGCTCTGCGTGGACTGCGTCGCCTCACAACCTGGTCTCATCCGTGAGTGTGTGTCATTTGGAGTGCCTGAAATGCTAAGGGTATAGGTGCCAAAGTCATTTTGCCTTGTAATTACCTGAGGTCTTGCAGGTTTGCTCTTGTCTGCGACTCGTAACTGTGATGAAGTTGTGTGGAGTCGGGCTTCGCCATACACCCCACCCGGGAAGGTGTACTTCTTGTCTGGCAACTCAATTCCATAAGGTCTTCAGAAAGTTGAGTCAGAGTAATGTTGCCAACGAAAACAAGGTGAGTCCATTGAGGAGATGTCATGAAACTTCTAGTCTATCTAGCAAATGACCTGTAGTCATGGCCCCTCTAATGCACAGGAAACAACCCAATTAAAGATAGTGGTGAGTGAGAAAAAGAAACTCGTGGCCACTGAGGATCTCCAGACTCTTCAAACAAGGAAAAGAAACCAAAGAGAGAAGCTCCAATCATGTACCCAACCCCCTGGCTCCTAGTCGGAGTTGCATGCGTGCCAGGTGACTCAGGTAGGAGACCAAAAAGGACCGAGCAGTAAATCTAGCCAATCAGAGAGAACAAATGAAAATCAAGCAAGTAAGATCAAATCGAAACCTCCAAGCCAACTTCTTACACCCTAAACACAACTCTGCATGGCGGAACTGTATACCACCCGGGGGAAATCCTTGTCGCTACCCGTATCGTGCCGTGTGCTTGGCTTGGGGGTGTTGTAACCGAAGTACTTTCGAAAGACCGAATGCGCTCTATGCAGGATCTTGGATGGTCGCTGCGGTCGTTTCGATGGTACAGAACAACGATGAGACATCGTCCATGGCGGCTATCGCACTCTGGTGGTCTTAACGGGACATTGACTGCAACGTCTATATCCGCAACTAGGGCAGCCATCAATTCTCGTGGTCATTCCCGAGTCACCACACTGGCACTGTTGAATGTTAAACATTACTCTCGAGTACTAGTGAGGAATCAATATTAACTTACACATGTCCAAGTGGTTACAAGGGTCTTCGATGACTTAGATGATCCCATTTTGACGGATTCGGCGTTCTTTGAAAAGATGACAGGAAAGAGTAGTAGATTCTTGGATGAATATATCTATCAGATGCTCGAAAGGAGGCTGGAGACGTTGATGAGGCAAAATGAGAAGAGAGGTGATCCTCAGGAGTCCATCTTATATATGTGAAGTCTTCAAGACCAAGTTCCAAGTCCTTTTGGGCGAATCGTCCGTATCGTCCCACTGTCATTACAGCCGACGGCAATGTCCTAAAAGCCTGGTGAGGCAACAGAAATGTTGACCAACGAGATTCCAAGCCACGAAACAATAGTCACTAGACATTTGTTCACAGGAAGCCTAAGACGGGGATACCGACGACGTGATTGAGTCCTCTTGTGGGGTCTCCCACTGTCCACCCGGTGCGCATCGTGGCTGTTCCAGAAGGCATCCCGCTTGCCTCGGTGGAAGTTGGCGCAGTAACAATTCCACCGTCCATATCGCAACGTCAAACAATACTACTGCGCCTTCCGGATCAGGCGCCTCAGGGCCGATCATTGGTATGTGACGTCTGCCCTAGTCGGTCCCCTCCACGCGGTTCGAGATCCGGAGCTGTGGTGCGCGCGATTTTACGGTATGTTCAGGCAGATATGAGTATGGCGGGTGGTCTGGGACAAGTTAGCCCAGACATCTCTCAAGCGAATATCCACCAGCGGTGAGGGGAAGAGGAGGATATGACTCCTTGTCTCGCGCCGAAAGTACGGAGAAGGTCGGCAGAGGAATGCCATGGGTCAGAAAACGATATGGCAAGTCACCTGGATCACAAAAACGAAGCTGGCGTGCGGCTCTGCTGTGACAGGGAGGGATGGTGATCCGAGGAGGCTCTGCGGCTCTGCGGCTTCCACCGGTACTGCTTATGGACTTAGTTGACTGGGATGGACCCGAAGACTGCTCTAAGCATGTGTGTTCCACAGAGGACAAGGGGACGCCCTGATACTTGCCATTCTCACCGAATAATCAGGCAACCACCGCCCCCGCCTGAAACTCGATGCAGGCTAGAGGGCAGATTCAGAGCGAGCAGAGCCGCATGAGTCCAAGATGGGCCCTGGGTTCGATTCGTCCAGCTTCGATTTGGCCTCGAAGTTGCTCGTTTTCGAGTCATACAGTCGTTCCTGTTGTAGGTATACTCTCCATTGACCCAAGTAATGGACGCAGGCTTGGCCCCCGCAGGTGCACATTTGCGGTGTGTATGCGGCCAAGATGAAAGTAAGAAGCAATGCGTGGACACATCAAGGGAGACCTGTCCGTCGGGCTTGGAATGGAGTGGCGGCCGGCTCCGAAGTAGGGTGCGGACCGCTCGCAGGCAGCAATCCGTGTTGAAAGAGAATTAGGAAAACGCATCAGTTTGGATCCTAAAGTGAGGTGGACAAAGTGAGGGGAGCAACGGCAGGTCTCATGCATACCTAGGTAATTGCGTAAGCATGCGGGAGTCTTATGGACATGCAGGCTCGATCGAGACAGAACGTGTCACGTGATTCTTTGGATGTCTGCCGTTGGTCGAAACCATCTGAGAGAAGAATGAGTGCAGGTTGAGGAGCAATTGAAGATGGATTCAGAATACCTGGTCATAACATATTGCTGTCGAGAATCTAACTCCAAGTCAACCCCTTCACTAGGGCTACGTTGGCGGTACTGGAAGGGAGAGAAGAAAGCCAGGAACAATTGGTCGTACAGCAGCGGCTTGTGTCTACTGTTGTCGAATGATAGGCATAATACAGGTGTAGGAAAGCTCCGACCTATCAGCTGAGTGTACTACACTCTAGGAATCTCTTTTTGCTTAGTTGCATTATAGATAGCGTCGGTGGTCAAGATGTAGTCTCCTTTCCATGCCTTTCATTCGCCAAAGACACTCGTTTTTCCTCTGACTGGTGCGATCGAATCGCGGGGACCGAAGTAGCGGAGACGTCTTCAAATCGAATCGTGCCAATGGGGATCTTTACACGGGTGGTGTATGTGGCGGTTCGTGCAGCGGTTGTCGCCGCGGCTCTCAAGAGACCCATTAGGTTGGGAAAGACGGAGGACAGAGGTGAATGAAGGGCGGGGAAAGTCGAAGCTCTTATGTACTCATAGCCATGCGGCTCTTCTGGCCTGCTGACCACGTGAGTGATACATTTCCAGATCCTCAGGCTGGTATTGCGGGTATCTTGACAGTCGAAGCCCGGGCAGAGTCACAACCTTCTAATCCTCTTGGATAGGGCATCCGTCTGTGAGTAGCTGTCAATGCATGTGCCGCACAGCCTTGAGAATCTGACCATCTGAATGAAAGTAGAGAAAAGAGATGCATGGATGTCGAGGCAGGTATCGATGTGGCTAGCTGTTAGACCAAGGTAGGAATAGTCTGGTGGGTTCCGAGGTTGATGTCGATGTCGATGGGGGCGATGTGTGAGAGAGGCTGAGTGAATAAGAAGGTCTCGAGCATAGTCATAACTAATATGCGTTGAGACTTGATGTAAGATATGTACCAAGCAGCAACAAGGCCGATTCCTCCGAGACTGATTCCCATAGCAACGCTATAGAGGGATATTCTCGGGACAGTCGCAAGGTCTTCACAGCCTGCTCGTCTAGGATGTCGATCACCGTGAGTCGGAGAGTAGTTGACACTGGGCTGTCGTATTGAAAGTGCGAGAGCCTGCTTTCTTCCGTGTTACTTGTGGAGAGAAGTATTTTGTAATTATCCTCAGGAAGAAACTCGCCCGCGCCGGTGTGGGTTACGTGCAGTTTGCCTCGCATTTGGTGGTTGGTGGTGGCTTTGGAGCTTGCGGACTGAACTCGCATCTCTGGCACTTGGGAGCCAACTGATCATGAGCTAAATCACTTCGACTTTGGCGAGTTGATATCGATTCTCGAAGTTTCTCGTTATCGGGCGTAGCAGCCTAGCATGTCGGGCGTAAGGGGCTAGCGTTTTCCCCTCCACGCTTGGCTGAAGATCTGATCCATTGGATCCATGGTTATGAAAAGGCTCACAAGAGAAGAGAGAAAAGCACAAAAATGGTTTGAAACGCAAAAGAGGTCTCTTTGTGTCGCCGCAGCTGTGACATGTAGTTCTTGATGGCTGCCAACGAATCGTTAGCTGATGGAACGAGTCGCGCCACCAGCTGAACACCTGAAGGCCAAAAAGCCACGTTACCGCGTAATGACGAATCAAGCAGAGGCCGTTGACGGTTCCTGATACGCGGTGAAGTTGATGAACACAGGTCTCACGTCGCTTCATCGGGGTTTACCGTTTGGCAGATGTGGTCTCACAGGCAAAACCAGCATGCCCACACACACGTCTGGGGGGTTCATCATGTTCATCGAACCGGAATGAAACAAGATGAAGGCGCAGTAGAGAACGGAGACGGACGAACGGACGAACCAAGGACCGCGGTTTACTTTGCATGAGCTTTCCGCGGGAAACTAGATGCATGCAGTGCCTCGCCTCGCAGCTGAGAGGGCATCCATTGGATGCCAACGAAGTGTAGGAGGTTCCAAAATTGCAGTGAAGAAAGAATACGGCGAAGGGGAACCCGCAACGAGTGGAATCCAACACTGGGCTGGGGCAAGGAACCTAGGTGCCAATGCTGTAGGGCTGAAGGCCACTGTTCCCGTTACCTTATTGATCCACTTCACCCGGCAGCACAATGCACTCTATTGTTGTTCTGCGCATGTTCTGCAGCGCGTCTCTCCCGCCCCTGTCTCCCCTGTACCCGCTTTTACTCGGCCCTGTGTAAATTATCTACGCAGTAGGTACCTAAGGTAAGGTAAGGTGGACCGTGACATTTGATTGCAGGTATCCCAGGCACGCACCTCCGAGGCGCCTAGAACTCGCCCGTCGTCCCGGCACCAATTTCCGGAAAGGACGACGACTATTTCCAATCCTACGCATCTACACATCGTCGCATGGTTTGACGCGGCTCTACAGCCCGTCGCTCGCATTTTCTGCGCTCTCCTTTGGACGCCAGCTTATTTCATTTGTCCAGTTCCTTTTTCCATGTGCCGGAAATGACTGCGCCGTTGCCATGTCGCAAGCCACCAGCACGAAATGTGCCTCGCGATGGGTGACGCGCATCATCCCCATCATCATCACTGGCACAAGCGGCTATGCAACCTACGTGATCGTGGCCTACCTAGGTGGTGAGTAGCCTTGTCCGTATGAACACTTTCAACGGCTGATCTTTGACCGCAGTCGACTACCTATATAGAACCAGGGGTGAGGTAGGCGCCGCAATTTCGACAATCACCATCTACCTCTTCTTCTACCTCCTCACGATCGCCGCCTACCTGCGAACATTCCTCAAGATCAAAACGGACCCAGGCTTGGTACCGCTCGGCCCGCAGGCTCAGCATCCATCTAGAGAGTCGAATAAGAAGAGCAGGCGGAGAAAAGTGGGAGACTTGGAAAGCCAGCCATACTTCACCGGCCCCGACCAGGACCCGGACAGCCCCGGCTTAGAGGGGTTCTACAGCAAGGACGTATTCGTTTGCGAAAGTGACGGACGTCCTAAATGGTGCTCCGAGTGCCGCAATTGGAAACCTGATCGGGCCCATCACTCGAGTGAGGTTGGAAGATGCGTGCGAAAGATGGACCATTATTGCCCCTGGGTTGGCGGCATGGTGTCAGAGACCTGTGAGTTGACGCAATCTGCGGCATAGGCTCAAAAACTATACTAACAAAACGTAGCCTTCAAGTTTTTTGCCCAATTCACTTTCTATTGCACCTTATACTGCACGGTTGCACTGGGCCAGGCAGCCTACTGTCTGGCTTTACAGGTGCGCGATGGGACCGTCGACGGGAGAACGATCTCCGGCGTTGCCATCGCCGGTTTTTTTGGACTCTTCACTTTTCTTATGACCGCAACTTCTTGGCGGTTTATTTTACTCAATATAACTAACATTGATGCCCTTCGCAAGTCATGGGTCCATCAGCTAGCAATCAGGGTGCCCAACGGCACCCGTCCTGGAAATAATTACGGCACGATCACCTATCCTTTACCAAAGTACCCCCAAGGGATACATGCTTCCTCAGACGCCACTGTCGACAGCGAGACCCCTCGCGACCGACTGGCTACACGCACGTTTGCTATTATCAGGACTGAGTCAGACGAAAACCCGTGGGATCTCGGGTATGCCGGAAACTGGACGTCCATTATGGGACACTCCCTGATCGACTGGCTTTTGCCTATACGCGGGTCACCATGCGCCAATCACGATAGCATGGAAAGTGACTACGAAATGGGCGCGTTGATACAGACACTCAGAGAACGACATGGTCTACCTGACCCCAACCATTCATCCGGCGGAGTGGAGATGCGGGAGCTGAGAAACCGTGATCGTTGACCGAGGCCCAAAGACAGCCAATGTCCTTGCATATTTAGGCGTTCATAGGGGCCAAGCAACTCAAGGGGCCCAGCGATTGATTTTGGTTTATATGCAAATATGCACGCGCACGCGCACACACATACACGTACCTAGTGTTAAGCCTTCTTATGTAGTAATTAATTCAGTATATGGAAAGGCGGCCAGATCAGCTCATTCGCATTATTGGAAAGTATCTAACAGGTCATTTTGGTTAGCTCAAGTGCAAGGCAGGTTCAGTAGGGGCATCCAGACGCCTAATTTTGCAGCATCTAGGGTATCTGATTCCGGGTGAGGGTGTCAATCACTCGCACCGACCGACCTAGAAGATCCACCGGGCCGAAGGCATGTCCTCCGAACGGCGGCGGAAGCAGTGGTGGGATGTGCTCGATGTCTGGTGGGTCCCCTATGCATTCCTGGCCGGATTGCTGAAAGCTGGAGGGACATACAATTGGGAATAGGGAGCAATAGTCAAGGAGTCATTCGCTATCTTGGATGGCTTTCGTTGGTGAAGAGTGATGAAAGTGAACTAGCTCTGGTTCGTTTGATATGGCATGTCCGCTCCACACTATGTAGACCCAATGCTATAGGCTGCCTGCCAATCGCGAAAGCTTCTATGCTGTTGCAGTTACTGTTTTCCTACACCAGCTCGGGAGTCAGATCACCGTATCCTTGGCCCGATATGCGAGGTCAGGATTCAATCTGGCTCTGTGCAGTCGTCGCACTTTGTGTGACTACAGGGCGCCACGCTACACTTCATGTTGTCGTTCTCGTCCGTCCCGCACAACTCGCTGTTGTTGTTCTCGCTGCACTCACAGCACTTCCAAGACCCCTCGGGCATCGACTTGGTACTGTTGGGAGGTAGCTCGGAAGTGTCGGATTCGTTGCCGTCGTCTGACCTAGGAAAAGTTGATGAGTGGACGAGCGAAAAGTAGAACTAATTCGCCGACTTACATGTTGTATAAGTCAAGATCTGAAGGATCTGAAAGCCCAAAAACACTTGAAAATGTATAGAGAATTCCGGATACAGCCCAACTGAAGTACGGAACGCTGAATTACTGTGTATCGCCGGATACAACTTGATATGGAGGGATGATGTAAGTGTTTAGGGGCAAAGAGGGTGGGAGAAGTATGACGGGCATAGACGATGATTTGTTTTGGTAGCTTCTTCGGTCCATGATAATAGACCTTCAGACTTATATGAGTTTCCCTCTACCATATCCAGAGAGCATTGTAGGCGGACATTTGCCTTCCGCATCTTCGGGACGAGTACTCCAGTTTCAGATCAGAGTATCGGTTTAAATCGCTTTGTGCAGGTCTACCCATGACCAAGCTCCTCGGACATGGCTCGAATTGGTAATGATACATGTTTCCCTCATACAAACGTTTCTGGAAGAAGCGTCTTGGCCCGGCTCGTATTCCAGCGTCCCATGGGTGTGCTGGATCTTGCGTCAGTCGTCTCGACTAGTACAGCATGGCTCCGAGACTCAGCCACCCAACCCGCAAAGCCAGGAGAAGCCATCTAAGCCCCGAGAGGTTTCCAATAGGACCTATCAAAGGGTGGTTCCTGACTGGTCGTACGAGGTAAACATGGACAACATTGCTGGGCTGACGCCGGTGATGCGGTACGCCCCCTACTCGCCGAATATCTGGAGCCGCAGCGGGATGACCGAGCTCTTGGAACTAGTAGATGGGGGCCGATCCTGCGGCGGCGGGATAGAAAGTTTGTGCAAGGTGATTTCGAATTCCTTGCCGTTAGTTTCGAACCAGTCAGCTATGCCGTGATACCGCAGGCAGGGGACGAGATCGGGAGCCGACCCCAAAGATGACGGACAAGGCAACTTGGACGAGGCAACGCTAAGAGGCAGCCTTATGGCTCACCTCGAAGTTAGAGCTCAACGGGTAAGTCCTGCTGTTCTGTTTGGTTGAGTACCGAAGACACCTCGGCCTGCTTCCGGGCAGCTTTTGATGACTTCCACTGCTCCCCTCACCAAGAGCGAATGAGGTGGGTTCTTGTGTTTGTCGCGCTTGACCCGGTTGTCTGTCATGATCGAGATTGGGGACAGCCATCTCGTAAACATAGGGCCAAGGCGGGGTTGATTGTGAATTGGCAAGACCGATTGTTGGCAACGATGACTCGTTCTGAGACCCCCTTGGTCCAAATTGACTAGTGTTGCGAAAGACGTAAGTACTGCTCGAACCCCAGAAAAGCCACTCCGTGAATTTTGCAGTGAACGGGGACTCCAACATTCCAACCGACTGGTGGACCGCAGAAGGTGAGTTTCAGGTTGACTGGTTGCCTGACGGTACCAGCAAGGCTCGCCGGAAGAGGGCCTGGTATCATATCGAGGGTTCCTGTGCAATCAACATCCTTCAAACTGCAGTGGCCAATGGACTTACGGGAATATAAGCTACGAGGAACCTCCGATTGGAACTGATAGATAAATAGAAACCTAGCTGATTCGTACGGAGGGTGGTAACCGTCATAGCATTACGTAGAGCGTGGGGTTGCATTAGAAATCGAGTTTGTGTCTTATCCTCTGCTAGTCGTCGTGCCCCATGGCCAGCAACAACGAGACTCCACGACCGGCACAGTGTGATAATTGGAGTCAAATTCATGCGCGAGGAAATCTGCAGCCTGCTCTTCCTCTTCCCATCGGATTGGTCGATTAAACGCTAGGGCAGCAAACGCGGCATGCAGTCTGCGAATCGGAGTACAAGTCTCTGAGTCCTGGAGTCTGCTAGGTCAGCGAGAAGAGATGACGTCTTAAGGAGAGAGAGGCATGGCGTGAAGCTTAATGCAAGGAAAAGCGAAGCGGGGAAAGAAGATTGGACATCCCCAAATTTGGCTGGACCGACCCTTGTGTTCCGTACCACCTGCTTCTTTGGAGACCAAAGTGCGAAATACAAGTCGTAGCCTGCTGCCGATAACATTGGGGGTGGTAAGAGAGCCATGTAAGGTAGACGCGGCAGGCTCGTTGAAGTCCGCAGCTCAAGGGCTTTTGGCGACCGTAAAACAGGAACGGAATCTTGCCGGCTCGGGAGAATGAGACGGTATATCAAGGTACAAGAGAATACGATTCACTCAGTAATTCAGCCGGAGGATAAATGAGATAGTTCGAAGCTAGGTGCTCACTTCGTGATCCTGATGTCTCATATCGCCTTGACGACTGTTGCCTGGTGGGTGCCTTTCTCATAAACTTATGAGGCGCTGAAAAGGTGGGCAAGATAGGTTAGAGATGTCTTGTAATGCATCTTAATTCTTGGCAAGGTCGAGGCTGCGTCTATCAAGAGCTGACATACGACACACCATAATGATGGTTGCAGTCGTGTAACCAGACCACTGGGAATCGGCCTAAATGCTGGAAGAGGACGAAGATGATGTTCACATGTGAAGATTTGATTCGGTAAGTCCGGGACTATAGGCGACATACATTGCGTCTTCGAAGAAGGATTCAGAGACGATTCTTATAGGAAACCAACAAGTCGTGGACTCCTCGGCCGTTTATCCGAGGGCTTGAGCCTGATAATCATGGCCAACGGGCATATAAGAACTGACGGATGACGCAGTATGGCGGCGTAGCAGGTTCGTCGATGGGGCGAGGGAGAAAGAGGGATGTTGCAAGAGGCACCCGGTACACTTGCGCAGGTTGAGCGGTTGTTCTCAAAGAATCAGCGACGAAGAGAATGTGATGTTAAATATTGATGGATTCAGATTAAATTATAGCCTGAGAGTCCTTGGCCGAGAAAATCAAGATACGATAAGGCCTTCCCTCACTGAACGAAGACAATACTTGCCATTATGAATGCGCGACCTGAGCGTGCCAAGAAGGCAAGCCAACCGACGACGTCTGCGGGTCATTGTTGGCTAAAAAGTGGATCCGGAAAGCGGTACCAACCACTTAGGTTCGCGGCAAATCCTTGCCGCTGTTTCTTCGGTAGAACACTCAATGGCAGGCGCGTTCCGAGGCGCGTTTGCCTCAACTACCTACGTAACTGCTGACCTTTGCAAGCGTGAGGTATAATAATTATCCATGGAGCAACACAGTAACCATCTCCTCCAGACATACTCCGTACGACTACACCAAACTTGGCTTATATAACGATCTGAGAAGAAAACCACACTAGACAAAAAGAGTAATAAATTCTTTTCATCGGCCTTGCAGTCAAAAATTCCATGTCGATCCAAAGAATACGCCGTTGAGATTCCGCTGAGCGAGCAGGGGGGCCTCACGACGCCGCCACGACGCCGACCGGCACTTCGGCGCAACTCAACCGAAACCATGTCATCCTCTCAGCCCTTCCGGGACTCCTCCCCTATAGCCGGCATTGATAGACGCAAATCTCAGTTCACCTTCAAGCATTTGTCCCAGCTAGCGACTTACAATACATCGTGCCCCTTGCGAGTCATAGCTCACATTGACCTAGATGCCTTCTATGCACAATGTGAGATGGTTCGTTTGGGCGTGCCCAAGGACCAGCCTCTGGCCGTCCAGCAATGGTACGTGGTCTTTCCGTTTCATCGTGTCGTCAACTAACGCTCCCAAGGCAAGGACTGATTGCTGTCAACTACCCAGCACGTGAGCACGGCATTGGTCGTCATTGCACTTTGACGGATGCGAAGAAGCTGTGTCCTACCCTGGTCGCTCAGCATGTAGCCACTTGGCGAGAAGGTGACGACAAATGGGCTTATCGCGATGATGCTGCTGCCAACATCCAGAGCGACAAAGTCTCGCTCGACCCGTACCGTCTTCAATGCAGAAAGATTCTGGCAGTCATCAAGGAAAGCTTGCCTATGGGTCAGCAAAAGGTTGAAAAGGCTAGCATCGATGAGGTTTTCCTTGATCTCTCCGCACAGGTCCATGCCGTTCTCCTGGAACGCTTCCCCGAGCTGAGAAACCCACCACCTTACGACGATCCGACGGAGAATCTTCCCGCCCCATCCGTAGCAGCTCTGGACTGGCAAGCGGATGCACTCGTCGATTTGAATGAGGAGGAGGAATCCGTGGATCCAGACTGGGACGACGTGGCGATCCTCATTGGTTCTGAGATTGTCCGCGATGTCCGAAGACAGATCCTGGAGAAGTTACACTACACATGCTCCGGAGGTATTGCCAAAAATAAGTTGTTGAGCAAGTTGGGCTCCGGCCACAAGAAGCCCAACCAACAGACCGTCATTCGAAACCGAGCAGTCGCCCAATTCCTGTCAGGCTTCAAGTTCACCAAGATACGCAATCTCGGGGGGAAGCTTGGCGAAAACGTGGTCTCAACTTTCAACACTGAGGTCGTTGACGAGCTTTTAGCTATTTCTCTAGACCAGATGAAAGCGAAGCTAGGCCATGACACCGGAACCTGGGTTTTCAATACTATTCGTGGCATCGACACTAGTGATGTCAACTCCCGCACGCAAATCAAGTCGATGCTATCTGCGAAATCGTTTCGGCCTTACATCACCACCCCGGAACAGGCCCATCGGTGGCTGAGGATCTTCACTGCCGACATCTTCGCCCGCTTGGTTGAAGAGGGGGTTTTGGAGAACAGGCGCAGACCGAGAACAATTAACTTGCACCACCGGCATGGCGGTCAGATGAAATCACGCCAAGGTCCAATTCCCCAAGGCAAGACACTAGATGAGCAAGCGTTGTTCGAGCTTGCAAAGAACCTCTTGAACCAAATAATAGGGGAAGGCAACGTTTGGCCCTGCGCCACCCTCAGCTTGAGTGTGGGTGGCTTCGAAGACGGCGTCACAGGCAACATGGGCATCGGCGCTTTCTTGCTGAAAGGAGAAGAAGCTCAGGCACTAAGGCAGGGCGGCCGCGAGGCAAATGATTTGTCCAATCCTGAAGAACAGCCGCCAAAGAAACGTCGGACGGACGGAGGGGCGATACATCGCTTCTTCACACGCAACGTTTCCGCAGGCGAAGAACTGCCGTTCGACGGTACATTTGTGAAGAACGATGTCAAGCCCCGAGACCAGACTTCGTCAGGTGAGCCATCCACAGCTGCTCCAGGTATGAGTATGGCGCACGAGGACGGCAACGGCGGCTTCCACCAGGTGCCAATCACGGCCTTCGTGTGCTCACGGTGCAACACAAGGTTTGAAACGCCAGAAGAGCACCAAAGCCATGAGGATTGGCACTTTGCCAAAGATCTACAAGACGAAGAACGTGGCAAGCCCATACTTGCCCAACACTCGTCTGCCACCCGCGGCTCCGGCCCAAAGACTTCAGGTGCATCGGCCAAGCGGGGCGGCCGCGGCGGCAAGCTAGAGCAGGGACAGAGTAGATTGAAGTTTGGATGATATGCCCGTTGTTACCAGCATCACGCCAAAAGTTTGTGGAGCGGGTCCTGCCGCCTGATACGCGACGAGACTTGGAAGTTGGTAAACTTTCACGCCCGGAGACCAGGTCCAAGGGTCGCCACAGAACAGCAGATTGACGGCGAAGCCCCCGACGAACCTGAGGAATGATCAATGATGATCGCTCCTTTTCCGAATTCCCAGCTTTACCGAGCGAAATATGAGGCGGATCCTACACAAGGGTATCCACAGAGCAAGGAGGACATGACTTCAGGGCCTGGTCTGGCTGTCTGTTGTCGCCAAGTTGGGCATTCGGTAGAGGAACTTGGAAGGCAATCCTGTTTGACAGTGCTCTGTAGACACAGTCGCTGACCTGGAAGGTGCTTCCGGCCTTGCGCCGGGTTGCAGTCTATCGGAGGACGTGGTTATATGAGACAGGACGGATCAACTTGGCGAACCACAACGGCCTGACGGGACAGGGACAGACATGCGGTTGAGCGTCTCCGCAGGCGCAAGCGACGAGTTGGATGGCTACATGTGGATCGAAACTACCCGCAAGTGTCGTCATCTCAATTCCAGCCTGCAGCATTCCGCGACACCTCCGAATCCTCACGGCCCATGGGTTGGATCAATATTGTGAGCGTCAGGGGCAACGATGCCGGCGAGTAAGGTTTCGGACACACGATTCACGATTCACGAACAAGAATATGGCCTCTTGAATAAGAAAGCGAGATTCAGTACGGCTGTGCCCTGGCATCCTGGATGGTAGAGACCGGTGCACGATTTATCCCTGGTTGAGGCCGGTTCCGTGATACTGTTGGATGGATGTTCACGCGTCGTTTTGGTTGCGTCTGGATCGCAATGCGGATGACGTCTGCAAGTGATTGGTTGCTAATAATTAGGCATCTTTGGGCCAAGGCGGGTTGGGCCACATTTTTGGCGCGAGGCATTGATACCCAACGTTGCCAACCACCACCTGGCACCGACGCACCGATACCAAATTCCCGACTAATAACCAGTAACCACACAAATCAGCGTTCGCAAAAGAAAAAAAAAAGCGCACGCACAACCTCGCCTTGTCTTGTGCGGTGGCCCCATCACAGACAGATGGGAGACTGGGAGAAGGAAGAGACGGGGCATTCCCGGCAGTCGGAAGCGACAGGTCACCGTTCACAGAGACGCAAAGGGAGCCACATCGCCGACCCCGAGTGGGTTCTAAGCAGCGGCGAAGTCAATTCTTGCCAAGGGCACCGCCAGCAACCGCCGGACGATCAACAGACAGGGCTAGCAAACGGGGAGCTGCGCTGTCAAGTTGCGAAATGGCCGGCAGTGGAGGGCAAGGGTCCCAGGAACGAACTTCCGTCGTTCCACGCTCCACAACCACGGGGATTTGATAGAAGACAGCCGGGGAGCGGATGTAAGGACGTGCGTGCTTCGAATGGTTTTTGCGCCCTCAAAAGCCCGCCGGATGGGCGCCGTTCGAGGCTGGGATAACCCCTCCTAGTAGGGTACCAACAGCTCGGTCAGCCAGGCTTGATAAAATTAGAAGGGCGAGAGAGAAAGTAAAAGACCTAGTTTGGCATCATGTCACCATCTCACCTCTAGCAAACCGACAAAGGTAAAAAAGGTCACCAGAGGCTGGCGGTTGGCAAATGAAGTCAGCAAGGAAATGCAACTTTCGGCGGCTGCTCACACGCTTCGGAGTCAGGCGCGAAGACCATCCATGAACTTCGTGACATGCATATGTCGTTTTTTCTTTCCAGAAGGATTAAGCTTCTTCGGTCTATTTACTCAACTTATCTGACGGGAAAAGAAAAGAATTACGAAGTCCAAATCGCCTCCCTCAGCATCCTATCCGGCTTTCCAAACTTGTACAGAGAGACGTGGGTGGGTGTACGGATACATAGGTAATAGTATGTAGTCCTCCATTAGCCTCGGCAATCATCAGACTGCCGCTCCAGCCATTAGCCTAGCGGGTGTTGAAAAACGCCACTACGCCAAAGTAGTCGAACGTCTTCTCGACACGTCCTTGACACGGACGGCCCAAAACGCCATGGAACGACGGTCTAGAAGGGACTACTCACGAGCCACTTCTCCAAACTACTTCGTCCCAATCCGATGAATGCACTTCAGCCTCAGCTACTTTCTCAAACAAGAGCACTTGGAGAGGAAAGTCTGGATCCTTTTCGAACGCCCTTTTGAGGTATGCAACACCACCGGACTTGACGATACCCGGTCCAGGAAGAGACGTTGGATTCAATCGCGGACAACGGTGCCCCCCCCGTGCGACAGGATTCGAGCCTGTTGTAACATGGAGGAAAAACCTTCGCATTGGATCACACTATAGCTCGCTATCAAGCCGTCTGTCTCATCCCTACCCTTTTGGAGTTTGGCACAACATTGGGCCACGTAATTATATCGAGCGTTTGGCTGCTGCATCTTTCTGGCTGGGTACCTTGAATCAATTACTGATCAGCTCGAGAGCACGCACCGAGCTGGCCCGCCTGGGTTGCCTTTGGTTCGCCTTACGTGCGCTTAGGTATTTGTAGGGATACAGCAACGTCAACAGATGCAGGCCTCAGGTATTCCAACAAGTATCCGTACTCTGTCTATGGATGAATATGTGAGTGCGTGTGTGCGCCAACAGCCCTCTCATGTTTACTTCTTCTGTCCGCGCACGTCACCGTGGATGTCGGCTCGACGCTGTCCTGGTCATCGGAGCCACCCAAGTGGTGGTCGTGCTGCGCGCTACGCACTAAAATGGAGCATCGAAAGCCCCGGACAGGACGACGTTTCCAGAGGCTTCCTGAGCCCTGACGCCCGTGAGTGAGATTTTGTTGTTACATAGTATTAGTGCGCGCACGACGCAGGGAAATTCCCTCGGTATCCCTTTTGGGCTGCGTGACAGGTCAACCCAACCTCCCAACCTCTCAAGCTGCACCTCATCCCGTCTTCATCCACTCAGAGCGGCCGCCACCCATTCTTCCCTGCTGCCGCCCAACCGTGGTCGCAGCACCTGTACGGACCTAACCAGGTTTCTACTTCTTGCTTCCGTCCCGCCAAGTGGCTTTTACCGCATCTGCTGGATGATTAGGATTTCGCTGCGTATCCGTATCTTGACAGGGCATGGGAGGTACACCTTGGGATGTACAACTGGACACCTCTCTTCGTCCCGCCGTCCGTCCTCCTCTCGGGGGCTAGGCGCAAGCTGGGCTTACCACGCACGGCAGGCTCTCATCGCTTGGCTAGGCTCGCTCGACTTGGGCCACACCAGCGACGCAACACAATCCACCCCCTAGCCCCCCTTCCTCGCGTACGCTAAGGGGATCCAGTGGCATATTGGCTGGGTTGCCAGGGTTTGCTTAGAGCGCGAGGGACAATCCGCACGGGACTGTCAGCCAACAATGTGGTACCAGCAAGCCCTGTTGTTTCCTGGTCTGGTCGGTCCCGAGGCGCCTTGACTAGAAGGACGGAGGAGACTGAGAAGGCCTCCATCCTCCCTCATCGTCCCACGGGGGTGCAGGCAGAGAGGAGGAGAGACAGAGAGAGAGAGAGCCACGGAGACAGAGGGTGTGTGGGTGTCGTGTGAGTGCAGCCCATAAGGTAAGGTAGGCTTACTCGAATCACCTACCTGAGGCTACCTCCGGGTTGCTGCCACTTACAGTACAAGGGCAGTCAGTACCGAGTACACACCTCAACCGTTCGGAATCGCAGTAAAAAAGTGCGGACGAGGGGTGTTGGTGACCAGTCAGAGGCTGGCCTTACTGGCCACACTGGTCACTGGACGTAGAGCCCAGTGGTTGACTGGTCCACGTTGGTGACTTCACTTACCGCTGCCCGCTGGGTCCCGGTTTTTCCTACCAAAGCCCCACCCCAAGAGAAGAGCCAGACTCTGGCCTGTTCCTTTTCTTTGCCCACCACCCACTCCCTGCCCGCTTTTGCCTTCCCATTCTTCCTCTTTTTCTTCCCGCCATCTCGACAATCCCATTTCTTGCTCACCTTCCCCTACTCTCCCTTCTTCTCTTTCCTCCCTCTTCCTATTTTCTCATCTCACGTCGCCTCGCCTCGCTTCGACCTCTCTCTCTCTCTCTCGACCATTACCCTCTCCCTCCTCCTACTCAAACCACCCCCGCTTCTAACCTTCAACATGTCGAGATCCTCCCGCGGTCCCCCTCCGTCGGCCTCGGCTGTACCTCAGAGCGGCCGCTCTAACGAGTACTTCGTCCCGAGAGATGGAATTGATCGCGAGGTCATCACCGCCGATATCTGCCGCTACCTCGGCAACGATGCCCTTGTGCGACCGGGCCACTACGAGAACCCTCAGACCGGACAAGTCTCCCAGGGCTACTACATCACCGCTTATCGAAACCTAACAACAGTGAGTCGCTCGGTTCGCTGTAGCGATGTCTCGACGACCTTCATACTGATGCAACGCGTCCGTAGGCCATGATCGACGACTTGAAGGCCGATTCTGCGCGATGGGAGAACGAGAGGCGGCAGCAGGCCGCCCGGAACAGTTCAGGAGGTACATTTGCCTCGAGAGACGCGGCGACGACTCTTTTGTCGAGACGTTCTAACTCCCCTACAGCAGGGTACCGCCAGTCGGAGACTCACTCCGCCCGCCAACACTATGGTCCCACGGATTCCACTGGCTACCCGGACGTAGGACGTGATTCCTATGAAAGCGCACCTAGGTATCCCGGATCTCAAGCCCCAGGATACTCGGGGAACTCTTCTCAGGGATACTCGGGATCTACCCCTTCCTATCAGCCGCAGCCTTCTTCTTCTTACTCAAGTGGTGGGTATCCGTACTCTGGCCAGCCAGACACAAGAGCAGACCCCAGATACACAGGATCGAGTCAAATGGGACAAGGAGGTTACGGTGAATCCCCCTACATTGCCACTGCCGCGAACTTGGCGGCTCGAAGCAACTACCCCGCCGATGCCTACGGCGCAGGACAGCCCTCTCGGACTCCTACATCGATGGCACCCCCGCAAGGAGGACAGGCTTACCCTCCCGGATCACAGGTCCCGGCAGGATATCCCTCAGGCTACTACCCGCCTTCGACATCGGCCTCGTACGGCTCCACGCCGGTGGCTTCCGATCCGTTGTACGGACGCGGTGCGTATACAACTTTGTACCCCACCCCCAACCTTTTCGACATGATCTAATTATGTAGCGTCCCCAGCAGGTGGTGTTGCTCACCCGTCTCTCTCTGCCCAAGGAGGATCACAGTATGATAAGCCCCCTGCACCCCGTGGTTCTGCTCCTCCTTCGAGTTCCAAAGCTCAGACGACAAGTAGTGGACCATCACACTCCCGCCGCAGCGAAAGGGATTCCGACAGGCATCACCAATCCGACCGCCATCGCCCCCCGCGTCGCTAATACGTTACCTTGACTGGAATTTACTGTAGCCACTCTGACTGCACAGGACACCCGTCCTGTGAGTCGCTGTCATGAACTTGATCCTAATGATTTCGGGTCTTGGACCCGTTTCCGGCGTCGGCTTCCTTATCATCTGTTTCTCCCGAATAGACCCTCTTCCTGAGACTCGAGGTGTGGAATCCACCTCGTGCGTTGCAAGTATGCATCTCACTCCGTTATCTGGCTTTGCTGGCGTTTTGGCTCTGCACGGCCCCGGAGCTCCCCTGGCTCTACATACACCCCTGGACGGTTACGTCTCAAGTTCTCTAACATCTTGCCCGGATCTCACCTGGACTTGCCTTGGATTTCACTAAGAATGGATTCTGCCGCGCATTCCTCTGGACGTTTTACGACTGCATATATGGATGGGGTTTACGATTTTTACTGTTCGATCAACCTTTTCTTTTCAGCAAGTATGACTTGCTACCACGTGTTTATGGCCCGGAACCAAGGAACGGAAAAGGACGCACTTTCTTGAACCGAGTCGACTTTGACGACTCACATGGACCGGACCACCTTGCTGTCTGGAACCGTCTCGGCGGTGGATGTAATGTCATTTTACTCTCTTCTCCTGGTCCGGGTTTCATTCTTCCTACCTGGGCTTTCGGGTTCTGGGTCATGGTGTTTCCCTGTAGAATGGGGGACGACGACACCAGGACAGCAAGGTGAGTTGGCGGACTGGCCGCATATTTGAAAATATCGAAAGGATACTCTTGCGACTATGTCCCTCATGAGGATTTGGGATGTTCATGTTCGAGGACTCTCTGATTTACATAACGTCAGTCATCTAACCGGACTTGTTGCAACGGAAATCTCCGACCGGAAAATATCCCTGGCCTCCTGGAAACTCGGACTTGCTCCTAAGCCCTCGCACCGCATCAAGGACTTCATTTATACTCTTTGGAGACTGCTTAAAAGCTGCATGGACCAACCCGTGGCAGTACCACCCATCAGACAGCGGCCGTGGACAAGAGAGGCTTTGATCCCTACAGCTGAGACTCTCAAACCCTTTTGGATCTCAAGTCGGCTCATTGAGCTCAAACAAGAAATTACCTTGGGAGGAGACTAG